GCCGCCGCGAGCCGCCCATGGTGCAGCGCATGTGGGCCGAGGCGGCTGGGCCTGCGGGCGGCGCCGAGCCGCTGTTTCCGGACTCCCGGCGGAGCCGCAGCCTGTGGGACGCCGTGCGCCTGGAGGTGGGCGGCCCCGACAGCTGCCCGGTGGTGCTGCACAGCTTCACGCAGCTCGACCCCGACCTGCCGCGTCTGGAGGTGGGTGGACCGGGCCGGCCCGCGGCCGGGCGAGGCGTGGGTGGGGGCCCGGCGTCCTTAGCGGGTCTCCCGCCTCCAGTTTGGGTCCGGGGGAGGGGACGGTCCTTCCGCAGAAATCCCCCTTCTTGCTCCGACCGCAAGGCAGCAAGATGGGCGTGGGGGCTGCCGGCACACCCGAGCCAACAGTTTGGGGACCAGAACCGGTCTTCGTGCCCCCTGTATCCGTCCGTCCCAGGGCTTCCCTCACCGGTGTGCCGGCCCCGCGCCCCTGCAGCCCGGGTAGACCCGTTCCCGCGGGCTGTCACCGGCTGTTTACATCGGCGAACTTCCCAACAGCAGGGGCTGGGCCGCATTTCTCCTCCCTTGCCAGCGCGGGCCTGCACCGGCGGTTGGGCTTGCCAGGGCAGGTGGTGAACTCGTGGTTAGGTTGGCAAAGTCCTAGAACCCTCATAGGCGGTTGGGACCCCAGGGGCCTTCCAGACAAGCCCGCCTTGAGGGCAGAGGAGGGGCGTGGAGGAGAGGCAGGCCTCCCACCACAGGGCCAGGTGTCCAGGCGGGGAGGTTGGGACAAGGGCCTCTCCCGCCGAGGGGGTGACTCATTTCTGCTTGGTTAGAAAATACACCAACACCTTGCGTTTCTAAGGATTTGGGAAGACTCAGAGAAGAGGGAATGTGTCTGTCAGGGGTGGGGGTGGGGGTGACCGGGTGAGGGCTGGGACTCTTGTTTCTAGTGCTCTGGGCAGTGGGGCCCAGTGGGTCATGGGGTCGTCACAGGGGAGGGGGGATGCCCTCCGCCTTCTACCACCTGGCTGTGCACCTGACTTGGTTCAGTGGAGGTAACAGATTCTGGGGATGGGCCCCCTCACCCCACTCTGCCTGAGCATGGGGCCTGGACAGAGGGCATCCCTGGGTCGATAGAGGCCAGAGCCTCAGCAGTGAAGTTCCGGAGCTCCCCACGCTGGTTAGGGCCCCTTGGTGCTCCCCCGCTTCATCACCTTAGGCCCTGGTTCATTGTAATTGCCGGTGATTGCCGGCCTGGGTCTTGTGTCTCTGCGTGTCCTCAGTGCCTAGACAGGGCCTGAATGCATAATTGCCCAAGGATAACATACATGGCCCTGCACAGCGTGGGGGAAGGCAAGAGGTGGGGCAGCTCTTAGTGGGGGAACCGGGGGCCTGGGAGGCCCTTTCCTCCTGAGCTTGGTGGGTGGCTGCCCCAGGCATGTTTTCCAGCCTTCATCCAGCCACAGCTCTGGTCTTCATTGGCAGCTGGAGCTGGACCCCTGGGAGGGTGGTGGGGGGAGGCCTGACACCAGCCCAGTGCTCATCTGACTTTCATTATGTCTGGCAGCGACTTGGGCTTTGTGTGCTGGGAGGGTCCAGCCTGCCCGTTCATGGGGGCTAGGCAGGTTCCTGGCCAGGGTGGGGCAGGCCACTCGGCAGCTTCTGTCCCTCCTTCTTTCTGTCTGTCTGTCCATCTGCATCCCTGAGGAATTGAGGGAGAGGCAGATCTGAGCCCTGCCCCTGCCCAGGGGTCTGCCTTGTCTCTCTCTCTCTCTTTCTGTCTTTCCCTTTCTCTTTCTCTCTCTTTTCCTCTCCTGCTGCTGCTGCTCTCCCTCGCCCAGCCTCAGCACTGAGATCCAGGCCGTGGCCACTGTTTAGAAATCAAAGGGGAAGCTTCTGGCTGGGGCAGAAAAACCAGGGTCCTGGCAGGAGAGGAGGCCACTGCCGGAAACAAAACACAATAACCATTTACCATGGGCCGGGGGAGGGGGTGGGGAAGTCCCTGTCCCTCCTGCCAACACCCGCCCCCCCCCCCATCCTGGGGCTGATTTCCTGGTCGCTGTAGCGTGCCAGAGCTGAAGCAGCCCTGCTTGTGGTCCCTGTCCTCTGGAAACTACCAGGCAGCTTCTGCCTTCCCTCCCCCATCCCCATTTCCCTACCAAGCCTCCACCCAGTCCTTCCCTCTCTGGGCTGCCAGATGTCCTCGCACATCTGGGCATCCGCTCGTCATCTTGATTCTAAGCCAAGCCACCATGTGATTGGCCTGCGCAATTCTGTGCTTTCTGGAGGTCACCTGGCCCATGCCCCCGTCTCCAGGCAGGCCACTACCTTGGCCAGGCAGGGGGCGTTCTCGAGTCTGTAGTACCTACTGACTGCAGATACCACCCCACCCCCCCCATTCCAGCTGGCTTTGACCAACCCTCCAGAGTAGGTGCCAGCCCCCCTGTATAGGAGACTGGAGCTCAGAGAAGCGATGTCCCTGATCTAAGCATACACACAGCCAAGGAGGACACAGCCAGGATTTGAACATGGGCTGTGTTCTCTCTCGGGCGCCTGCTATGTGTGCATGAGCCGGCAGGGATCAGAGAACGATAGGGCAGAGCTTTGCCGAGGCAACTATAAGTGCACGGGAGGAGGGTGGAGCCGTGGGGGGAACGGAACCAGGCCCAGGCAGCCCAGAAGCCCCGAGATCAAGTGAGGGGCGGGGATGCTTATAGACCAGCAGAAGGCAAAAGTGCTTTGGGCCTGAGGACACTGGGGAGAGCTTCCAGGAAGAAGCAAGCCCACAGCTGGACACCAAAGGTTTAAAATAATAGCTAACATGAGCCAGCACTTGGTGGGAGGCTCTGTGCTAAGTAATTTGCATGCATTATGTCCTTTTGCGGTCAGCACTATCAATAGCCCATTAAACAGACAAACAACTGAGGCACTCGAGGTTAATTAGATTGTACAAACTCACCAAGCTAGTAAGTGGCAGAGGCGAGATTCTGACCCCGGCTGTGTGACTGCAAGGCCTGAGCGCTGTCTGTGGGCGGAACGGAATGCAGAGGGCTTTTCTGCTCTTTGGGTGGAGGTACTCCTGGGAGAGTTGCCCTCCAGCCTCCCTGCCTCCTTCCCGGTTGTCTGGTCTCTTGATTGCACTGTGTGCAGGGCTTCAGTTTAACCCCCAGCACTCATTAGCCTCTGACACTGGAGGCCCCAGAGGCATGGCCTAAGGGGTGCACATATGTGTGCATGTATGTGTGTCTGTCTGTATGTCTTCGTACTGTGATCTTCAAGAGGGGCTTACTGGCTGACTCCAAGGGGGCAGCCTCTAGGAGCTGCAGTGCCTGTCAAGTTCAGGAGGAGACTGACCGACTGCCGCCTGCTGGGCCCCCACAGACCCTCAAGTTCCCTTCTTACTTTACTCTTCGGGGCCCCAGGAGAAGAGGAGGGAGGAGGCCAGGCTGGCTAGTACTGGGTCCTCATACCTTCTCTACATGGGAGACACTTGAGCATGCTGGACTGTTTCCCTAGAGGCCCAGGGATGGCCCTGGTGCAGGAGTGGGTGCGTGCGGTGGGGGGTCAACCTGGGAGATGTTAAATTGCTTGCAGGCAGGGCTGGGGTCCGATCCTCAATCTAGAAGTTGAGTTTCCCAGGCTCCGTCTTCATTGCCGCTGAGAAGGGGCTGTAGTAGATTGAGTGAGCCCGTGAGGGCGGTTTCAGGAGGCTGCACCCAGGCAGTTGAGGACTGATTCCCAGGGGCTGCTGGCTGGCCGCCCAGACAGCTCCCACGGCGTGGCACCGTGCTGTGGCCACACTGTCCAGGCGTGGGCCTCCAGCCTCGCAGGCCCAGAGACACCGTGTTCCCAGACACACGGCTCCAGCAAAGTGACTCTCCCCAATCTGATTCCGAGGAGACGGGAGTTGAAAGCTGCAGCCTAGTGCAGGAGAAGCAGAACTGTGGGCAGACCTGACTCTCCATCTCCTGGCCGGCCCATGGCTGGGGAGTGAGCAGATGATAGCCCAAAGGTTGCTCAGTGAGGGGCCGGGGCACCGGTGTGCAGGCCTGCATCCGGGGCCTGCGTTCCGGGAGCTCTCAGTGTGCGTGCTGCTTTGGCATTTCCTCTCCTCTCCAGGGACCGTTGGATGTTTGCACAGGCTGCTCGGCAGTCACACCTGGAGGTGTGGTGTTGTCCTTTTGTACCCAGGGGTGGGGTCACGTATGCTGGTAGAGAGCTTGGGCTCTGGAGGGAAGGGAGCTGTGCTGAGATGCCAACCCGGCCCCTTGCAGCCCTAGACCTGCTCCTGCTCCCTGAGCCTCAGTTTCCTCATCTGTAACATGGACCTGTTGCCAGATCCTCCCCTTAGGGTTCTGGTGAGGATGGAGTGAGACAGGTGGCCTGACAAGCAGTCCCCACGGTACCTGGCACAGTGTCAGAGCCAGACAGGTGGTGGCTGCCGTGATTGTGTTTTCTGACAAGGTGCCAGGGGAGTGCCCGTGCCCTGGGCTCCTGGGGTATGCTGCCCAGCCCAGTCAGCAAGGTGCTTCCCAGGCCTGGTTCTCGTAGCTGACCTCAGGGCCCGTGGGTGCCCTGGCCGTCCTGTGCCAGGAGCCCCAACAAACCCCCTCTCAGTGGAGAGGTGCAGGTGTGAGCGAGCTGAGCCCTGCCACCCCTGACTGGCTGTGTGACCTGAGAAAGTCCTTCCAGTCTCTTGTCTCTCTTCCCACATCTGTGTGACCAGGGGCTCGACTCTGCTCTGAGGCTGTGATCATGGCAGCCACTGGTGGAGCAAGGCCTAGGTGTGTCTTCACAGGACATTACAGTCACGGGCCAGGGTTCAAATCCCTGCCCCGGCTGCCACTTCCTCGCTCCTGACCTGGGCGAGTTCCTGCCCAGCTCTTTCCTCATCCATCAAGTGAGGTGTTGGGAGGATTAAATATGATGAGTGGGCAAAGGGCCTGGCACCCAGGAAGTACCCACTGGTCAGTGGGGGACACTGGTCAGTGTCCAGTTGGGGGTGGACCTTCAGCTGGCCCCGCCCTGCACCCTCTCGGGACCAGGCCATCCTCCTCCTCAGCCGTCACCAGCCACACCCCCTTGCAGGCCTGGCCCCTGGTGGGCCTGCTGGCCTGACAGTCAGGAGCTGGTCACGAACAGACAGGAGGATGGGTGTGGGGAGGGCCAGTTTCCCCTCCACACCTGAGGCACGTCTTTCCTCTAAATGCTGACAAGTAGCTGGGGTCAGGCTGGCGAGGAGGATTCTTGGGGAGATGGGTCAGCCTTTGCGGGGGGTCAGCACAGGCTGGTCCCCAAACTCGAATTTCTGGGATCACCAAGCTCCATGGTTGCCCTGGCAACCAGGCACTTTGTGTGGTCCCTGGCTGAGGCTGCCTCTGTGGGACCAGGAGTGTGGCCCACTCCCATCCAGGGCCAACTTTGCATCCCCACCAGGGTCCTGTCCATCATGCCTTTGGGTTCAGGGTGCAGGCCCGAGGGCAGGCCCTGCTGCACCCCAGGAGGGTCATGCCTGCTTGGCATTTGCATTCTGGCTGCCTTGTTGGGCGTATGGTCTAAGAGATGAACCAGGACCTAGATTTGAGAAGTCCTGGTTTCTCTCCTCAGCCTGGACACTCTCTACTTGACCCTGCCTCCTGAGCCTGCCTGCACTCTGTAAAATGGGCGGGTGGCATGGTGTTCAAACTGTCCCAGGAGCCAGGGATTCTGGAGAGGCTGAGCAGCCCTCTGATCAGTCTCACGTTTTGGCTCCTACATTTGAGCACAAGGCTAGAAAGTCAGAAAGCTGCCCGGCTGGCTCCCACCTGCAGTTTTAGGATGACCTGCTCCCTCTGGGAGGGGCACTCCTTCAGGTTCCTAGGGCTCTGGCAGGTCTCACAGGTTCCCACCCGCCCGGTGTTCCTCGCCAGCGCGTGGGGGCTGTGAGCGGGGGTCGGGTGTTCCCCAACAACAGCAGCAGCATCGGGTCCCATTTCCTGAATGCTTTCATGTGCCAGGTGCAGATCCGGGCACACTGCCCGCGTTCTCTTGTGACCCCCCATTTCATAGATGAGCTCACTGAGGCTGAGGGTTGAGCAGCTCGGCAGAGCTGGGAGTCAGAGCCCTCCATGAGAGATGTGACTCTGGTGTCTGCTGGGCCCTAGGGAGGGGCCTCGTGGCCGAATGAGGGCCTCGAGGTGACCTCTGTGACTCAGTGGACCTGGCGAGCAGCTCAGCAGGGTGCGGCAAGGTCCCCAAGGGGTGATCTCATGCACTTGGGGGCGCTGTGATTGGAGCCACCCCCACCCTGCCCGTGTGGGGCCAAGCCTGTCTATGTGCGGGCCGGAGAGGAGATGAGAGGAGACCTTGGTGCAGGCTCCAGCCCTTCTCCTCCCTCTGTCTCAGCCCTCCGCCAGGTCTCCTTAGGAGGAGCCAGTCTGCGGCCAGAGGTGTCTGTGGGCCTAGTTGTAGCTGCCTCGGGAAATGTGCGTCCAAGTGGGGAGCCAGAGCGGAGGGGTGATCAGGATGGGACAAGGTGCTATCCCCACATGTCTAGGCACAGGCACCTTCTGGGAGAGGTGGAAAGGCCCAGTAGGTCCTCTCAGGTCTGTCCCCAAATAATGGGTGAGATTGACCCCATTATTCTGCCTTGAGGGAATCAAGGCTTGTCCTGCAGCCGGTCGGGGACACAGCATCCTCCTGGCCCGTCACCAAAAAAGGCTGATCGGATGACACACTTAACAGATGCCACCCAGGCCATTTCCCCTCTCGTCCCCAGGGCCCCAGGCTGTGGGCTTCCTGATGACGGCTCCTGGGCCTCCCAGAGCCCTTGAGGGTCAGGAGGTGAGGGCACCCTGGATGCATGTTGTGCCGGCCTCTGCTCTCCGTGGGGACATCACACCACCTTCACTCCACTTGATCCAGGTGGTGGGAGGCCAGACTGTGTGTGCAAGACACAGTTGCCCACTGGATCCCAGGGCCATGGGGGTATTGGCGAGTGCCTGCTTCGGGTGAGAGAAGAGGATCTGTCCCCTGAGGACACAGCTGTCCGTGTGGCATTCTTTTCCCCAACAGCCAGCTGAGTGCTGCCCTGTGGACACCTCCCTTCAGGACATCTGTTAGCTAGGTCATCCCCCACCTTCCCCAGGAGCTCCCCAGCCCCTGCCAGAGCGTCCCTGGGGGGCCTGGGCGCTGTCCACTCTGCTAACAGGGTGGCCCAGGGTCACCTTCGGGCACCAGGGCCCTGCCCTTCCAACCCTAGAGGGTCCTGGGGGCAATGCCAGAGCTGTTGGCCACTTTCCTTCTCTGTCCCTGGAGGGGGGTGGGAGCAGGGAACAGATGTCCCTCTCTGCCACTTTCTGCCCGGGACCAGGGAGAACTCGCTTTAGAGCCCTCTCCTCTGTCGTGTCTTGGCAGTGTAAATGGTGCCTGTGCTTAGCGCTGCTCTCACGGTCTGGTTTTGTTGTTCCTGATGAAGGAACCAGAGAAGACAGGGTTAGCTCTGCAGGGCTGGAGCAGCTCCCCATCTGTGTGACAGGGTGGTGGCACCCCTCCCCCATTAGCATGTGTGGCTCTCAGCATCCTGCCCTGCCCCCCACCCGGCTGGCAGAAGGGGGCCCCTCGGGAGTGGGGAAAGGGCTGGGAGATCACATGACACCCAGGCAGGGCTGGCCAGCTGCTTGCTGCCAGCGAGGCCCATGGCTCACTGCAGATCTATGTGCTATGAGACCTGCTCGAGTGTTGGCAAGGCCGCCCAGCCCCAGCCGCTCCTATGGGTTGGCCTGGCTGGGGAGCACTTCCGTCTAGCAGGCCTTGATGGAGCCCCAGTGGGAGCCAGGTGCTGTGCGGGCTCCTGAGGGGTTCAGGTCCGGTGCCCTCTGGCAGGGGGTCCTGCACGGGACCCCGAAACTGCTGCTGGTGACTTGGGTACTCAGGACACTCTCTGGCTCCCAGCTGGGCCACATGTGGCTGAAATCCCCAGGAGAGGGACAGGCCCTTGCAGCCTGGCTGGCAGCCTTTGCAGGAGGCGGTCTTGGACCCCTGAGGAGATGCCAAGGTCAACGGTGGCGGCACCATCTGGTCCATCAGGTGGACAGCAGGCCCCCAACATCACCATGGTCTCCGAAGCCCATCTCCTCCGAGGGCTCTTCCAGGCGGGGAAGGGGTGTGTGAGGCAGGGGCAGGAAAGCGAGCATCTGTTTCAGTTTTTCTGCTTCAGGAGGAAGAATTTCCCCTTCTCAGTGGAAGGGTTGGGCCTCCCCAAGTGTGGGCTGTGTGGGTGTGGGAGGTGCCACACGGGGGGACCTCTGCCTGTGGCTTCCCTGCTACCTTCCAAGAAGCGGCTGGCTTTCCCTTCAGAGGAGGCAAAGGGTCAGGAAGCCCAGTGTGATTGCAGCGGCTTTCCCGTTGGTATGATGCCCAGCGTGGGAGGGTGGCCTCGGGTCAGAGGAAATGGACTTCCAGAGGACGGCTCCCGGGCCTCCCAGAGCCCTTGAGGGTGGGCAGGAGGGGCGCTGATGTCTGGAGAACAGCCCACGGGAGGCCCAGCTTGAGCCGAGAGCTTGAGGGAAGGTCTGTCGGTGGGGCCCAGGCTGAGTTAGCACTTTCACTGGCCTTCTCTGAGTTCCCCGCCCACCCTGGGTTAGTGCTGTGACCCGTGGTCCCAGCTGCTGGCACTGACCGTGCGGTTGATGGCCCTGTGCCGGCCAGCCCCTCCCTAAACTTGCAGAGGTCGGTATCTTTACTCCTGGGCCCCCTTCCCGCTGCAAACTCACCTCTTCCCTGGACAGGGGCAGGTGGAAAGGGGCTGTGAAGCCCGGGGCACTGTGGCCAAGCAGCCTTGGCCAGGCCTTGATGACCCCAGCCTGCCCAGTGGAAGGGGTCGCTGCCCCCTAAAACAAGGGCCTTTCCTTTTTGCCAAATGACCCCCTGTTCCTGGCCCAGCCAGAGTCCCATGGTTTTCGGGTTCTGTGGAACCCCAGCCATGATCTTTCTCTTCCTGTCCCCATGCACATGGTGACACACGGGGAACTGGGAACTCCTCTGTTGCCCAAGAAGGCACAAAGGCATGAATGAGCAGAAAGGGAAGGAAGTAGCCTCGGATGTGGCCGCCAAGGATATCCCACGCCTGTCCCAGACCGTGATGCTGATTCCTGGTGGATCACCTCGGGGGCCGGCAGGCTGGGAAGAGGAGGGATGAGGGTGAGGGGCGTCACAGGCCTCAGGCCCTGGGTGAGGGTGCCTTCTCAGGGGGTCATAGCCCCCTAGATGCAGTTTGCTGTGTCAGGGCCTTGGGATCTCAGGTCTGCCGTCTACCCGCAGTGGCACGACTTTGGACTGGTTGCTCTTCTCTTGGCCTCCATGCACTCATCTGTGAGAGGACCAGCTCATGGCTGGCAGGGTGGGAAGGGGAGTGCTGTGGGGAGTGCCCCTCTGCCCCAGTGTTAATTCTCGGCCCTCGAGCTGTCATCCATTTCATTCTGGGCTGGAGGTCTGGCCACCAATCTGGGCTTCATCTGGGGAACAGGTCACATGGGGGCATCCCCCTGCAGCAGCAGCCAGGCAGGCCCCTGACATCCCTGCCCGGCGGCTGGGCACTGTCTTTGCAGAGCTCTACGCAGGAGATCGGCGAGGAGCTGGTCAACGGGGTCATCTACTCCATCTCCCTGCGCAAGGTGCAGGCGCACCACGGCGCCAGCAAGGGCCAGCGCTGGCTCGGGGTGAGTGCAGGGGGCCTCCACACCCAGACCCCGAGAAGGCCCCGGGTTCCAGATACCACTCTGGCAACTCCACCGGGCTCCCTCAGGGCTCTCCTGCCTGAGGGCCCCACTGTTCTGCTCCCAAAGGAATCTGGGCCCCCTCCTCTCCCTGTCTGTGCAGCCCTGGGCTTGACCAAGTGCAGAGTTCATGTATTGTATGAATGTCAAAAAAGACACTTTTATACTGTTTTCACTTCACGTTACGCTGGGAGTATTTTTGCATTTTGCTCTGGTTTTTCTGCCCCCAGCTGCCCTGTGTAGCCATCAGCCTGGTGTCCTTCCACACCTTCTCCAAGCCTTCTAACACCACGCTTCATAGGGCTATTTTTACGCAAAAAGGGCTGGGTCTCAGGCACTATATACCTGCAACTTGCTCCCTCACGGAGCACAGCCCTGTGCCCCCTCCAGGTCAGAGCTGGGGCCTGACTCCAGTGCATAACATTCCAGAAGGGAGGCTGGTCGCCACAGTGATTTGGCCTTTCCATGCCGAGGGACCTTGGCGTGAATCCTTTCTTCAGCCATTCCCACAGTGCTGCACGGGACATCCTGTGTGTCCTCATGTACTGCTCTCTTCCAGCCCACGTAAGCCTCCGTTTTCTCATCTCTAGAATGGGGATGTTTTGTAGGGCTCACATGGGTAATGTTCTTCATACAGGGAGATGCTGTCGTTACTCAGCTGACGAAATGACTGGAAGGTGTTAGCATTTTTCATCATTCCTCCAACCAAATTCTTTTTTTTTTTTTTTTTTTAATTTTTATTTATTTATTTTTCTCCCCCAAAGCCCCAGTAGATAGTTGTATGTCATAGTTGCACATCCTTCTAGTTGCTGTACGTGGGACGCGGCCTCAGCATGGCCGGAGAAGCGGTGCGTCGGTGTGCGCTCAGGATCTGAACCCGGGCCACCAATAGCTGAGCGCGCGCACTTAACCGCTAAGCCACGGGGCCGGCCCTCCTCCAACCAAATTCTGCTTGTATAGCTGAGAACCTTTGTTTGCCGGGGGCACTCATGTCCCATCTCTGAGCTCTTGGGAGTTCATCTGAGTTCCAGCCCCCCACCCTCCTGTGGTCCGTGGAGCTGCCACTGACCTAGGTCCCTCCTTTGTCCCCCGCCCAGTGTGAAAATGAGTCGGCCCTGAACCTGTATGAGACCTGCAAGGTGCGGACCGTGAAGGCAGGCACGCTGGAGAAGCTGGTGGAGCATCTGGTGCCTGCCTTCCAGGGCAGCGACCTCTCCTATGTCACCATCTTTCTGTGCACCTACCGAGCCTTCACCACCACCCAGCAGGTCCTGGACCTGCTGTTCAAAAGGTGAGCCCCGCCCCTCCACAGCTCTGAGGCTCCCTGCCCCCTGCTGGCTGTGTGTCTCAGGGATGTCCCTTCACCTCTCTGAGCCTCAGTTTGCTTGTGTGAAAACTGCGAAGCTACGAGGACAACCTCACGGGGTTGTTGTCAGGACTATTGAGATCAGCCCAGGACAGCGCTGACCCGAGCCTGGCCCTGCGGGAAGGGCTGCCGAGGGCTGTGGTTGTCTCTATTTATGACCTTCCTCTCCCCGTGAAGAAGCTCCTGCCTCGAGCCTCACCATCCTGTGGCCTCGGGCAAAGCTGTTTTCCCATTTCTAACGGAGGTTTCAGATTCCACGTGGGGGTCCCATCCTGGGTGTAGGCAGAGCAGGGATCCCTGGGGGCTGAGTGGGGGCCCAGGCCCACTTGGATGTCTGGGAAGGTGCTGGTTGGGCTTCATTCAGTGAACATATATGAAGCACCTGCTGTGTATAGGCGCTTTTCTAGGCACTTAGCATAAGTCACTGAAAAAAGCAGCTGGAAGTCCCTGTCCTCTAAGGTTCTGTCCTGGGTGGGGAGTCAGCCGGTAACACCAGACCTCACAGCAGGTACGGTAGATGTGACGCCCTCACGGCCTCCTCTAGATACGGCTGCATCCTCCCATATTCCGACGAGGACGGTGGCCCCCAGGACCAACTGAAAAAGTGAGTGGGTTCTGGGTCTGATGGGATCTGAGGGGCTGTGGCTGGGGGCGGTGGGGGGTAGGGCAGTCCCCTGGCTCCCACACGTCTTATAAATCCCGCTAGAGGGCTGAGGTCTGGGGGCCTCTCCTGCAGAAGGAGAGGAGTCAGAGAGCTGCAGATGGGGTCCAGGCCCCTCAGGGAGCAGAGAGGAGGCTGGGGGCTCAGAGCCTGCTCCTGAGAGAATCCATCCCCACCCCAGCCCCTCCCAGCCCTGCTCGCCCCCTCCCTGATCCGAGGGCCCCAGAAGGAGGTGTGGGGAGGGACCTGCTCACGCATTAGCCTCGCACCTTGGTGCTCCGAGCCCAGCTGCACGTGGGGCTGGCCCGGCTGTGTCCCCATTCCCAAGATAGTGTCAGTGGGAAGACAGACCCACACGTGCCTCATAGAGAATAAGACAGCATGACGGCGCATGAGCTGCAGGCGGAGGTGCCACGAGGGCCGTGAAGGCTGGGCGGGAGGACACCCTCTGCCTGTTCCCTCCTCCCTCTCACATTCATGCAGCACCTACTGCGAGCCCGCCAGTGCGATGAACAGAGCAGGCACAGCCCTCCCTGTCTTCGTGGAGCTGATGTTCCCGTGGGGAGGGGCGGGGGACACACAGGAGGGTGTCAGGCTTCCCCGAGGAAGGGGGAGATGGTCCCACCATTGATGGAGGGCTCCCTCCCATGGAGACTCTCTGCAGCCCCTGCCTGGACCACCAAGTCAGGGTGGGCTGGGGTGGACTGGCCTCTGCATGGGCAGGGGCGGGCCCAGGAGCCCAGCCTCCACAGGGGTGCCGTGGGAGGACTGCGTGGAAGGAGAGGCCGGGCCTCTGACTCTGCTGCCCACCCGCCTACCCCTAGTGCCATCTCCTCCATCCTGGGCACCTGGCTGGACCAGTACTCAGAGGACTTCTGTCAGCCCCCGGACTTTCCCTGCCTCAAGCAGCTGGTGGCCTACGTGCAGCTCAACATGCCCGGCTCTGACTTGGAGCGCCGTGCCCACCTTCTCCTGGCCCAGCTGGAACATGCAGAACTCACTGAGGCAGAGTTGGAGGGTGAGGAGAACAGGGTGGGTGCATAGAAGCATACGGCGAGGCTCAGTGCTGGACACACAGGGAGGAGCCCCCAGAGGCTGGTCTTGGCCAGGAGCGAAGACTGGCCTCAGCCCACCCATCTGGTGGACTGCAGTCGAGGAAGAGGTCTTCTTGTGGGTTTCTGGGCTGGGGCTCCTCTAGAAGGCAGTGGCATATTTTCTGTCTTGGAAAGGCAGACACGTTGCTGAACTTTTCTCCTCTTGCAGCTCTGTCACCAACTCCAGCGCCAGCGCCAGCGCCAGCTCTAAAACCAACTCCAGATCTAGGGCCAGCTCCAGGACCAGCTCTAGTGCCCTATCCTGTGCCAGCTCCAGAGCTAGAGCCGGTGCCAGCTTCGGAGCTAGAGCTGCTGCCTGCTCCGGAGCTAGAGTCAACACCAGCTCCGGAGCTAGAGCCAACACCCGTGCCAGCTCCAGAGCTGGAGCCAGCTCTATCACAAACTCTAGAGCTAGAGCCAACACCAGTACCAGAGCTTTCCTGGCCTTCCTCTGTGGCTGCAGAGAACGGGCTGAATGAGGAGAAGCCTCACCTCTTGGCGTTCCCCCCCGACCTGGTGGCAGAGCAGTTTACACTGATGGACGCGGTGAGCGACTCCGCTCAGCACAGCGGGGCAGGGTACAGCTTCCTTCTGGCATCTGCTGCCCAGACCTGCCGTTCCGTGGGCCAGAGCAGATGTCCTGGTTCCGATCCCGGTTCCCCCATTACAAACCATGTGACCTGGGCAAGTTTCTGAAGCCCGAGGCCTCGATTCCCCTCCGGGTCGTGGAGATGGGACCCCCTGCAGCTGTGTGGAAGTAGAGTGGCTGTGCAGATGCAGTGAGGTGGAACAGGGGAGGCTGGGTGGGGCCTGGCCCGTTTGGGGGAGGCGGGGAGCTCACTGGGGTGCAGCTGGCTCCAGGGGTTGCCCCGCATCTGCCCTGGAGGCTTTCCAGCCTCAGCACTTATTAGGCACCCGGTGTGTACTTGAGTCCATGGCAGACACCAGACAAAGCCCCTAGTTGTAGCCCCCACAGGAAATGTGCATCTGGACAGGGGTCAGACTTGAGGCGGGGGCAAGGGTAGAAAATACCGCCTGGTGTGCCAGCGTGAGCCAGCTGGTGCCTAGAGTGAGGATTTGCTGGTGAAAATGCTGCACTCTCTCCAGTATTCCATCCTGGGTCATCCTGCGCTGGGCACCCTCAGCGAGCAAGAACAGACCCAGAGACCCCTACAAGGCTCAAGCCGCACGCTCAGCTTCCTGAGCTCCAGCTCTGACCAGGGACCCTGCCTGGGGCTGGGGGCCACTGTGGAGCCGAGCTGGGGCGTGGCAGGGCCGGGTGACACCCTCCATCCTTCCCAGGAGCTGTTCAAGAAGGTGGTGCCCTACCACTGCCTGGGCTCCATCTGGTCCCAGCGGGACAAGAAGGGCAAGGAGCACCTGGCTCCCACCGTCCGCGCCACCGTCACCCAGTTCAACAATGTTGCCAACTGCGTCATCACCACCTGCCTCGGGGGCCGCAGTGTGACGGCCCGGGACAGGGCCAGGGTGGTGGAGCACTGGATCGAGGTGGCCAGGGTATGCCTCGGAGGGCCCAGGAACCCCTTTTTTGCCTTTATCCACTCTCAAGGCTGTGGTTTGTGGTCCAGGCCCCTGCACAGACCCCAGGCCTTTCCTTCCCAGGGCACGCTGGCCTTGACTTCAACATCTCACAGCCTGGGTGCTCACTTCCTCCTTACACTCTTTCCTCGGGATGAGCTCGGATCCCTAGGAGTGTTACTCGGGGCTCCCAGGTGTGCCTTCCGGGGCCCCCTGGGCATCCGTCTCATCCAGGAGGGGAGGGCCCAGCTGAGGGGGACTGAAGCCGGAGCAGGCAGGAGCTCCAGCCGCACCTCACAGCCCCTTCTCTCTTCTCGCCAGGAGTGCCGAGTCCTCAAGAACTTCTCTTCGCTTTACGCCATCCTCTCTGCTCTGCAGAGCAACTCCATCCACCGACTGAAGAAGACGTGGGAGGAAGTTTCCAGGTGGGCAGGCCTCTCTCTCTGTGGGAACTCCAAGGTAGACCCCAGCCCTCCCCTGGGGCCGGGCATTGCCCCCTCACTGAGCCATAGACCTGCCAGGAGGCAGCAGTCCTGGGGACACAGACCCCGGTGGGCAGGGTCTCTAAGTGTCCATTGGCCTTAGGCTAGCAGTTCTGCCTCAGGACTCAGTTTCCTTATCTGTCAGGTACTGGACTGAGCCACCTAGGAGATTTTCGTGTTTAGTCCACAGCCACACAACTCTCTGTCCAGTTGAAATCAAAACTGGTCAGAACAGAGCTGCTCAGTAGAAATGGAAATGGGGGGCCAGGTGACCAGCGTGAGAGCCCCCTCCCCAGGCCCACGGAGCCCTTAGGGCCCAGCAGAACCATGTTTGAAAACCACTCTCCAGGAAGTTTGGGTCTTTGGGTTCTAGAATAAAATGGATTTGCACTCATACACACCACCTCCAACTTTCTCCTTCCTACCCCAGGGACAGCTTCCGGATCTTTCAGAAGCTGTCAGAGATTTTCTCCGATGAGAACAACTACTCACTGAGCAGAGAACTGCTCATCAAGGTAATTTGGGGAGGGGGGTCAGTGTTAGCTGCTTGTGGAAAGTTTCTTTGAAAAATTCTAGTCCTGTCTTGTCTGGACTCCAGGGAGAGCGGGATCTGTTTGCTCTATGGGCAAGTGGGAGGCAGTTTGGGGGACAGGAGGCCCTGGATGTAGGATGCATGTAGGTTGGACCAGAACATAGGCCCTGGACATAGGATGTAGCAGGGGCAGCTGGGGTGTTCCAGAAGGAGTGGGTGAGCTGGCAGAATTAGCAGGTCTCTGCTGCCTCCAGGCAGGTGGATGGATGGGGTCAGGGGTGGGGGTCCCTTCCTTTCCCAAACCAACCCAGCCTGTCCCCAGGAAGCCAGGCCCCTGCTGCTCCTTCCTTCTCTCTGCACTGCACTTCCAAGGGACGGACACCTGCCTGCCCAGGGACCGGGTACTGCAGGGGATGCCCAGGGGCCAGGTCCCAAAGGGGCTGCCTGACGTTGGGTCCAAATGACTAGACCGGGGAGGCAGGTCTGGGTGCCCATGGGACTCCTCACTCTGCCCCTGGGGCGGATGCTGTGGGTCAGTCCCAGAGGATCCTATCAGATTCTCACCATGGGGCCTCACAGCTGTGACGGATGCCCCAGATGGCTTGTGAGAAATGTCAGGGAACTAATGAATTTGTGGTGTGTCCTTTCTGACCTGATCTCAGAAGCTGCCACAGAAAAGAGGAAGCAAAGTTTCACCACCCAGTGCCCCTGGCAGCCTCAACTCACCATGTCAGTCACAGGTGGCACCTAGGAGACCCCTCGTGGGTGATGAAAGCAGAGTTCTCTGTAGGAGAACATCGAGAGGGGCTCTGTGGGGAGATGAAGCCTTTGACACGGCCTCGGGCCCAGCCTGGGGGGCACACACCCCAGTGGGTGCTGGAGCAGGCAGGAGCTACTCAACTAGGCCCCCCAAGAGTCCCTGTCAGTCTCTTCACAGCTCAGCCCAGCACACAACCATAGGCCCTGAGGACGGGCCCCTGGTCGGGGGTGGGGGGGCAGGGCCTTCAGCCAGGAGGGAGGTGTCTGCTCTCCTCTGAGTCCCTGTGGGGCCCTGGGCAAGTCGCTGCCCCTCTCTGGGGCTCAGTTTCCTCATCTGGAAAGTGGGGGCATGATGACCCCGGGGTGCTAACCTCACAGGGAGGTGGTGGGGTTCACTGGAGAAAAGGAATGTGAGTGAGACTTGTGCAAGACCCCACCTTGGAGAGGGCAAGGGCAGAGCAGACACAGTAACAGGCATGTGACACTGAGTCCTTAGAGACCCCACGAGGCAGCTGTAGTTCCAGGCTGCCCTTTCCTGGTGAGGAAACAGGCTCAGGGGTTCAAATCTAGAATCAGAGCATGCTGGTGGTGGCAGGAGCATTTGTACCAGCGACCTAGGCCCGAGGTCAGGTGAAGGAGAGGGGAGGAGGGCTCACTGACCCCATCCTCGACCCCGGCAGGAGGGGACCTCCAAGTTTGCCACCCTGGAGATGAACCCCAAGAGAGCCCAGAAGCGGCCGAAGGAGACGGTGAGTGTGCCAGAGGCCTGGAGAGGAGGGGGCTGGCCTGGGGGTTAGGAGAGGAGGGGGCCGGCCTGGGAGTTGGGAGAGGAGGGGGCTGGCCTCCCAGTTGGGAGAGGAGGGGCCTCCCCCTGAGGCCTCCCCTCTTGCTGCCAGTGCCTGACATGCCCCTTTAGACCTGACCTCTGGGCCCTGGCAGGGCTGTGCCCTGCTCAGCTGATGTCTTGGGGGGACTAGTTACAGCCAGCAGGGCAAGGGCCTGGAAGGGCCGGGATCAGGGGAATTTGGGAATGTGGAGGAGCCGGGGACCATATCACCTTGGGGACTTGCCACATATCAGGCCTGGAAGGTGACTAGAAGGAGTTTGGGGTCCCTGGACACTAGGAGGGGGATTTGGGAGAAATGGCTAAAGGTCCCCCGGCTGTTCTCAGTGGCAGGCCTGGGGTGGGGGCTGAGGCTGAGGGGTTTTCAGGGGAGGGGCCTTGGGCCTTGCTCATCAGCCCCACCCCGATGTCACAGGGTGTCATCCAGGGCACGGTTCCCTACCTGGGCACGTTCCTCACAGACCTGGTGATGCTGGACACGGCAATGAAGGACTATCTGTATGTGAGTGACCCAGGGGCGGGGTGGGGCGGGGCCGGGCCGGGCGGGGCCCAGGAGCCTGAGAGGAGAGCACCCCTCATCGAGCCCTGAGTTCCCAGTACAGGCACACCTTGTCTCATGAGAGCTCCCCCACCCAGCCAGCCCTGTGTGCTGGGGGCACCTGCCCATCTTGCCAATGAGTGAACAGCTCGGTGCCCAGCTAGTGGGGCTCAGAGTTGTAGGAGGATTTGGCCAAGCTGGACACAGCCCCTCCTTCAGGCCGTGGCCACGAGCAGAAAGAGGACAGGCCCTCCGAGGTCCGGCACGTGGTGGCCAAGCTGAGGCCTCAGCTTCTCCATCTGTCCTCAGAGGGTTGGGCGAGCAGGTCCCTGAGCCTCTGCCCCCCACTGCCCCTGGCACCCAGAACCCACCCAAGATCCAGACGTGTGCGTGCCCTGCCCCCTGGTGTGTGCTCTCTGTAGTGCAGCCTGAGAGGGGAGGAGGCGTGGTGATGGGCAAGGGGAAACTTTCTGATGGACGTTGACTATCTGCCTTCCAGGGGAGACTGATCAACTTCGAGAAGAGAAGGAAGGTGAGCAGCCACAGCCCTTGGCAGGGGGTATCAGAGACCCGCCTGGTGGAACCCCCTCAGCTCCAGACCCCTTTCTCTTACAGCTATGGGGAGAGTTGGATACAGAGAAAGGGGGGGACCTCTCCCGGCGGAGGGGGCAGTGAGCAGGAAGGAGGTTGGGATCACGGACAGCTTCCTGGGGAGAGGCTGTTGGAACCCAGCTCTGAGAACAGGGTGGGGCCTTGGCGGGAGTAGAGAGGGGACCCTGTAAGCGAAGACCAGAGCCTGGCCCCAGGCCCCGCCCAGGCATCGCCTTCCTGTCCTTCCCTCTGGCCCCAGGAATTCGAAGTGATCGCCCAGATCAAGCTGCTCCAGTCGGCCTGCAACAATTACAGCATCGCGCCCGAGGAGCACTTTAGGTCCTGGTTCCAGGCCATGGAACGGCTCAGCGAGACTGAGTGGTGAGGCCAGGGCAGGAATTGGGCACAGGGCGGGCGGGCTGTCCCTGGGGGCCAGCTCCAGAGAGCCTGTGGCGTGGGACCTTGTTGCCTGGCGACAGCTGGGCACCCGGACTCTGGCTGCTGGGCAGGCTCTGGGAGGGAGAGCTGAGTGTGGCTCCTGGCGGCCTCACAGCTCCGCTCTGTCCTGTAGCTACAACCTGTCGTGTGAGCTGGAGCCCCCCTCCGAATCAGCCAGCAACACACTCAAGGCCAGGAAGAACACGGCCATCGTGAAGCGCTGGAGCGAGTGAGTCCCGGGGTGCAGGGGTGGCTCCCTCGGGGCTCGGGAGTTTCCGGCTGAGCGTGGGCTTTGGGAGTCAGACAGCCAGGCACTGGGATCCAGCTTCTCCACTGACCAGCCCTGTAATGGGGTGAGTCAGCTCACCTCTCTGGACCTCAGTTTCCTCTGTGAAATGGGGTGATGCTAAATGATCTATCAGGTGACTGGAGCCAGTGGGCTGCTGTTGATGGACCGAGCACTCGGCATGGTGCCTGGGGCACAGAGTGCAGGGGGCAAGGGTGGATGTGTGTCCCAGGGGAGTGCCCTCCGCACCCCCCGCAAGTAATTCGACCCTTCCCTGCAGCCGCCAGGCCCCCAGCACGGAGCTCAGTACCAGTGGCAGCTCCCACTCCAAGTCCTGTGACCAGCTCAGGTGTGGCTCCTACCTCAGCAGCGGGGACATTGCCGACGCACTCAGCGTCCACTCGGCTGGCTCCTCCAGCTCTGACGTGGAGGAGATCAACATGAGCTTTGTCCCAGAGTCCCCTGATGGCCAGGAAAAGAAGGTGACTGCCCCACCCCTTCTCCCTGCCAGCCCTTCCCAGCCTCTCCCTTCCCAGGGCCAGTGTTCCCTACTCCACACCCACAAAAGGGCCAAGAAGCCCTAGCTCACAAACAGAGCCCCTAGAATCCCCTGGAGCTGGGCACCGGTCTGGGCACCCTGCAGGGCCCGGGGCTGCTGCTTATGGTGCCGTCCCTCGCAGTTCTGGGAGTCAGCCTCCCAGTCATCCCCCGAGACCTCCGGCATCAGCTCAGCCTCCAGCAGCACCTCCTCCTCGTCAGCCTCCACCACGCCCGTGGCCTCCGCCCGTACCCACAAGCGCTCCGTCTCGGGGGTTTGCAGCTACAGCTCCGCACTGCCACTCTACAACCAGCAGGTGGGCGACTGCTGCATCATCCGCGTCAGCCTGGATGTGGACAACGGCAACATGTACAAGAGCATCCTGGTGAGCCCCGCGGCCCGCGCTCTGCCGGGCCATCTCCCGTCCCTGCCCGCCTGGAGCTGGCCTTCTGGTGGGTCAGGAAAGCCGGACGGACACCAGATACAGACGCAAGGAAGCCAGGGCGTCAGTCAGCGCTAAGGGCGGCAGATGGAGGGGTTTTGATGGAGGCCAGGGGGCTCACTGATGAGGGGCCTGAGGGCGCAGGGAGCAGCGTGTCAAGCCCGAGGCGGGAGTGTGCCTGGGGTTGGCGGACCAGCAAGGGGGCCCGAGATGTAGGAGCAGGGGTCAGGGCTAGGGTTGGGGTCAGGAAAGTGCTGGGGACCTGGATCTCGTTGGAGGGAGGCAGGAGCCGCTGGAGGTTGGAGCAGAGAAGGGACGGCAGTGACTTCTGGCTTCTTGGGGGAGTGGGCTGATGCTGGGAGACACAGAGAGCTGGTTAGGAGGCTGCTGTTGCAGTCAGGCGGGAAGAACAGTGGCCGCACCGAGCTGGCGGCCGTGGAGGTGGCCGGCAGTGTCAGACACTGGGTATCATTTGAAGATAGAGATCAAGCCAGTGGGAGTTGGGAGGCCTCTGCTCATCCTCCAGAACTCGGGCTGCCGATGAGCCATTTGTGCCCCCCCTTCAGCCCACACTGGGTCAGGTGCCCCATTACACAGCCACCTGTGCTGAGCTCCTCTCGCTGCCAGGAGCTAGCACGAGTGTCATTAAGTAGTCACCTGTATGACCCTGTATCTAAGGCCTGCCTGCCTTCTAGCCCTTGCGGTGGAGGCAGCAGCGGTTGGCCTGTGCTGACCACCACTGCAGCCTCCAGCTCAGCGCAGGCCTGGCACTTAGGCAGCCACTGGGCGTCCAGCTGGCTTCTCCTCTCTTATCTCCAGGGCTGGGACTAAATACCGTCTGTTCCCTGGGGTCATTGAAACTGTTGTCCTGGAGGGGCAGGGTCAAGGGGGAGCAGCCCCCAGGAGCGTGTGGTTTTCCTAGGTGGCATGGGAGGAGGTGGCTGGCTTGTAGGAGAATGAGGGGTAGGAACAATATGGGACCCTTCCTCAGTGCACAGAGGACTCCCCGGGGGCAGGAGAAGGTGGTGAGGTCCCCATGCATCCAGAACCCGGCCAGAGGGTGTGAGCCCCTGTACACAGTGCCTAGGTGGCTCCAAGGGTCCCTGGCTGCTGTACTCTGGGGGAGCTACTCCAGGACCCTTGCCCTGATGGCCTGTCGCCCACCCCAATCCAGGTGACCAGCCAAGATAAGGCTCCGGCTGTAATCCGCAAGGCCATGGACAAACACAACCTGGACGAGGATGAGCCAGAGGACTATGAGCTGGTGCAGATTATTTCAGACGATCGAAGTAAGTCAGAGGCTAGGCAGGTGGGCCATGGAGGTGCAGGCGTTGGCACCGTGTCCCAGTCCCATGGCCAACAGTCCCAGAAAACATGCCACCAGGGTGGGAGTAGGCCTTCTGCATGCACCAACCTGCCCCGAGGCAGCTCTGGACGCCCCAGTGTCTCCTCACTGGCCCCTGGCGGCTACTGGGCTCCTGTCATGTGCCCTTCCCTGGCAGTGGGACACCTCGTTCAGAGCTAGAATCATTGAGGAGTGAAGAGAAAAGGCTTTTCTCCTGGGGCATGACATCCAGATGGCCAAGCCCACAGTCCATTCAGAGGGTCACTTTCTGGCTGAGATGGGAAATGTGTCCTTCAGAAGGAATTGTGACTGCCGTGGACCGCAGCATCAAATATGTTAAAATCCATGCACATGTGATGCTGTCTTAGTCGATTTGGGCTGCTATAACAAAATGCCACCAACTAGGTGGCTTATAAACAACAGAAATTTATTTCTCATAGCTCTGGAGGCTGGAAATCCAGGCTCAGGGTGCCTGCATGGTCAGGTTCTAGTGAGAACGCTCTGCTGAGTCGCAACTGCCTCCTTCTCCCTGTGCCCTCACGGGGTGGGAGGGGCGAGGCAGCTCTCTGGGGTCTCTTATAAGGGCGCTAATCCTATTCATGAGGCTCCACCCTTGTGACCTGATCACCTCCCCAAGGCCCCACCTCCAAGTACCATCACCTTGGGGGTTAGGACTTCCACATATGGATTTGAGGGGGACACAAACATTCAGACCATAGCAGACACTAAGAACAAAATGGAGGCTCAGTACAGTAGTCCCCCCTCATCCGTGGTTTCGCTTTCACAGTTTCAGTTATCTGAGGTCAACTGCAGTCTGAAAATATTAAATGGAAAATTCCAGAAATTAACAATTCATAAGTTTTAAATTGCACACCATTCTGAATAGCGTGATGAAATCTCACACTGTCCTGCTCCGTCTCTCCTGGGATGTGAATCATCCCTTTCCAGCACTTCCATGCTGTAGACACTACCCGCCCATTAGTCACTTAGTAGCCGTCTTGGTTATGAGACCGACTGTCGCAGTACGGCGGAGATTGTGTTCCAGGAACCCTTAGTTTACTTAATAATGGCCCTAAAGCGCAAGAGTAGCAATGCTGGCGATTGGGATACGCCACAGAGAGGCTGTAGCGTGCCTCATTTAAGTGAGAAAGTGAAAGTTCTCAACATAAGAAAAGGAAAAAAATCGCATGCTGAGGTTGCTGAGATCTACGGGAACTTTCATTACAGTATATTGTTACAATTGTTCTATTTTACTACAGTCACGCATCACTTAATGACGGGAATACCTTCTGAGAACTGTGGTGTTAGGCGATTTTGTTGTTGTGCAAACACCCCGGAGTGCACTTACACAAACCTAGATGGGATAGCCCACCACACGCCTGGGCTCTATGGGGCTAATCCTATGGGACCACCGTCATATATGCAGTCCCTCGTTGACTGAAGTGTTATGTGGTGCACGGCTGTCTTAGTTATTATTGTTATGTCTTCCTCTGCCTAATTTATAAATTAAACTTTATCATAGCTATATACGTATGTATAGGAAAAAACCTAGTATATAGAGGGTTTGGTACTAACTGCAGTTTCAGGCATCCACTGGGGGTCTTGAAACATATCCCCCACAGAAAAGGGGGGACCACTGTATTCTAAAAGGGAAAGAATCAAGAAGAAAAGCACCCACTCGAGCCAGACTGCTGGGGCTTGGAGACTCAGGCCAGTTCCTGTTCTCTCATCCCACAGTGGAGATAAAACAGCCAGTGGATTAACCTAGAAACGCATAGTGTGTACATGTGCTGTAAGGTTAACTGTGGGGCCGGCCCCGTGGCTTAGCGGTTAAGTGCGCGCGCTCCGCTACTGGCGGCCCAGGGTTCCGATCCCGGGTGCGCACCGACGCACCGCTTTTCCGGCCATGCTGAGGCCATATCCCACATACAGCAACTAGAAGGATGTGTGGCTATGACATACAACTATCTACTGGGGCTTTGGGGAAAAAAAGGAGGAGGATTGGCAATAGATGTTAGCTCAGAGCTGGTCTTCCTCAGCAAAAAGAGGAGGATTAGCATGGATGTTAGCTCAGGGCTGATCTCCCTCACAAAAAAAAAAGGTTAACTGTGCGTATTACCACCACTGTTTCCTTCCTGCGTGAGCTGCTCACCTGCTCCCAGCCCTTAGGCCCAGACAATTAGCAATGACCCCTCGAGCCCTAGAAGTTGCTTTCTAAATCCTCTCTCAACTACTTGCACCATTTTGGTGAGGTGGGCAGAGCGGGTGAGACCCCCATCTTACAGAAAAGGAAGACTGAGGCCTAGACAGATTAAGAACTAGAGTAAGAGCCACACGATGGAGGCAGGAACGTGAGCTCCAGCCCAGCAGTGGTGTGTAGCGGGCTGGATGCCAGAGCAGATGGGTGGGAGATAGGAGCCGGGAGCAAGTACCTGCTGGGTGCCTGGTACCCCGGGGGCATGGGGGCCTCCTGGAGCCCACTGCAAGAGGCCTGGGGCTAGGCCTGCCCTTCACTGGGCCTCAGAGCCCTTGTCCTGAGTAAGGCAGGATTCAGGGGACGTGGTCTGGATTCTAGAAAGACTGTTCCAGCTTGAGATCCTGATTGGTGAAGGCAGTGGAGGGGCGGGTTGGATGACCCTTCAGATAACCTCCAGACAGAAGGGGACTCCTGCAGTCAGAGTCCTTTGTAAGCAAGAGTCGTTAGGTTTCATCAATGCTTCAGCATTCTGTCCTCGGGCAGGTGTCATTAAGAGGGATCCTTGGCAGTCCTGGAGTTGGGTGGGAGGTCTCAGGTCTCTGGCTCAGGCCTGCCCTTGTGGGGCCTCTCAAGGGCTGGGGCTTCCTGTGGGACCCCATAAGCACCGCTGACCCTCCCTCTGCACCTCCCCCACCAGAGCTGAAGATCCCTGAAAACGCCAACGTGTTCTATGCCATGAACTCTACTGCCAACTATGACTTTGTCCTAAAGAAACGGACCTTCACCAAGGGGGCAAAGGTCAGGCATGGAGCCAGCTCAACCCTCCCTCGTGTGAAGCAGAAGGGACTCAAGATTGCCAAGGGCATCTTCTAATTGGTCCCCAGCGCTGGCCAGCCACAGGACCACCCTTTCCAGGGTCTGGCTGGCCGGGGAACTCAGCACTTACAGACTGCAGTGGCCCGGGCCAAGTGGGCACCTTCTGCCCAGCCTGCCAGCCCAGGCCACCCCCAGACTCCAGTTTCACCCTGAACCTCTCCTGCTGCCGGGATTGACGCCTGCCAGTCGACAGGCTGACCTGGCCTCCTGTGGACCACTCGCTGCCTTAGGTGCCTTCTGCTCTCTGGACCAGAGGACTAGCTGACTTTTGCCAAGGAGTGCTGCCAATGGACACAGCCCTGCATGCCACTGGGCACTGCCCTCTATGCCTCCCTCACACCTTCGCAGGTGTGGGTCACTGCCACCTTTGCCCATGGGTACCCCAGGGCACCCACTCGTCCACCGAGTCTGACCACTGCAGTTCTCTCCTCGTGCCCGCGGGCACTGGCCTGTACCCTTCATGGGGGTCCCGGTCCCTCCTCCCACCACCCTAGCCTTTCTCAGGCTGCACCAAAGATTCCATCATCAGGGCCAACTGAGAGTGAGGGAGTCTCGCCCACTACCACCCAGCCCTCCCGGAGAAGAGAGAGACCCTCCTCATGGACCACACTCTTCACCCGGTGCATGAAGACGGTCTCAGTCGAGTCCCACTGATGTCGAATCTCATGACACTCGAGTGCCACTCACTGCTGCATCCTGGGCTTTACGAGACCACACGAGACGGGGGTTAGTGAGAGAGGAGGATTTGGGGGGAGGAGGAGGGGGGATGAATATTTGTATAAAAGGCAAAAAAAAAAAAAATGTTTACCAGTTGGGGAGGGGCAATATTTATTTGTTGTAAATAGCAAATGCTAGACTTGAATATTATATTAAAATCATGTTTCTACTGTAGCCCTCGAGTTGCATTTCGTTCTTTCATTTCCTGTGCTAATTTAAATGAGGTGCAGACTCGCACATTATGTGTTCACATAGGAAATCTTGCCAGGGTATTGGTTTATTTTGTGCGGGAGAATCAAGAAGGGACAGCCACCCTTCTCTGGCTCACTTAAGGAAACACACGTCCGCCTTTCACTGAGCAGATAAAAACATTTAGAGAAGTTTTTGTCTTCACAGAGAAGATAGAAACACTTTCACAGACCCGGCAGGTAGAAATGCTGAGAGAAGTCGTGTGCTTACTAACGTGGCAGAGGAGGGACACATTGCATCCTTGGGCTTCCATGGGTCAAGAGCAGGGGCAGTCAGGAGAGGCCCGCACCGCAGCAAGGGTCCATCCCCGTCAGTCTCTGACAGGGGATCCCCCCTTCACACCTGAGAGCCCTTGACCAAGCCAGGAAGCCCAGAGCAGCCACAGTGGTCCCAGGCCAGCCCGAGGCCCCTGCTCCTTGAGAGGTAGGTTTGCCTCTGTTCAGCTCTGCCATGTGGGGCAGCAGGACGTGGCTCCCAGGCCTCAGTCTTCCACCTGCGGCTGGAGAGGGAGAGAGTGGCCAGCTGGTCCCTGGTGCTGCTGCCCCACGTGCACACCAGCACTCTGGAATCCTCTCTCTGAGCCCTCCCGCCCCACTAAGGACTGGGTGGGGGTAGAGAAGAAGCCCTCTGGCATTGTTGTGAGCACTGGCTCTGGAGTCTCTAGGTTTGAATCCTTGCTCTGATGACCTGGAGCACATGACCCCCTCTCAGGGCCTTGCTTCGCTCTAAATATCTGTAAGTGTCTAAAATGGGGATGTTCACAATGCCCACCTCACGTGGCCACAGTGAGGTCAGGCTGGTTAAGCCCTTGGTGCAGTGCCCGGGTCCAGACTCCCAGAGGTGAGGGCCCTGACTCTGACCTCTGCCTCCAGCCCCCCGTTCTGCCAGAGCCCTCGGGCACCACCCAGCAGGCCCCCCAATGCCCAGCCCTCCTGCACCCTCTGCTTCCCACCCTGCAGTATGATACTTTATTCTCTCTCTGACTTGGATCCAGCTGGAGGCAGACTCTGTTTCTCTTCCCAGGCTGATTCCCTGACGCCAGTTAGAACAGAGGTCACTCCCCACACCCCAGAGGACTTGGGTGTGGCTGGGCTCCACCAGTCCAGAGGAGGCCACCGCCTGCACAGCCCAGCTTCCCTCTCAGCTGTGGCCGCTGCTGGCCCTGCCCACCCTTTGGGGCAGAGCTCAGCCCCTCGGAGCCAGCATGCTGGTGTGGAGGGACCCTCGCCTGAGTGCCAGTCCTGGCTCTGACACAGAACTTCTCCCAACCTGTTTCCTCCTCCTTAAAATGAGGATAGTACTGTCACCTGGAGGAAGTGTGTTGGGCCCAGCGCCTGGTGCTGTCAACTGAGGGCCCTCCTTCCTGGGTCTCAGGAGCAAAGAAAGATGCCAGCCAGAGAGAGATGAGGCTTTATTCAGGAAGAGCTCGAGAGCGGAGGGGTGCGCCCTGGGGTCCCACCGTGTGGCCTCTTGGGGCCATGGACATTAGAAACCAATGACTACGGGCATCTGAGCCGCCTCAGAGTCACCCATGGGGGGCGCAGGGGTGGCCTCAGAGTCACCCATGGGGGTCACGGGGGTGGTCTCAGAGTCACCCGTCGGAGGCGCAGGGACGGTCCCCTCGCTGGCCACCGCCGGCAGCGCCTCGTAGGTCAGGGACCAGTAGCGCAGGTAGTCAGTCCTCAGGTTCTCCTTCATCGAGCTGCCATCCATCTCCTTGTTGATCTCCAGGTAGTTGCCGCTTTCCAGGGTGTAGGGATCCCAGTGCGTGGGCACGGCTGAGTGGCCCGTGTTGGGGTCCCTGCAAGGTAAGAAAAGGCTGGGTGGGGGCTGGGGGCTCACAGGAGGCTGGAGACCTGTGCCTCCGGCTTGGCTCAGCTTCGCGTGCCTGGGCAGTCCTCGGCCTTCTGTGCTGCCCCGAACCCTCAGGGCCCCTCCCTGTATCCCTGGCACTGGCTGGGCACGTGGAGCCCCAAGACATGCAGCTCTTGGCCCAGCCAGTAGCTCTTATCTTCACATACAGAGTGGGTTCCGAGGCTCGGGGAGCTTCACTATCGGTGAGGGAACAGACTAAAACCCAGGCCTGCAGGCAAAGAGGCTCTGGGCTCAACCTCACCCCCGCCTTACCCAGTTCTGGCAAAGTTGGTCCAATAGGCAATCATGGCCTTGGAGACCGTCCTGTGTTGGGACTGGTAACCCAGAGGGGTGGCGAAGGGCTTCCCGAACACGTACTGGATGTCATCTGCATGGTCAGCCCCCACCCAGCTAGGGTAGATGGGCATCCGAGACGGCAGGGAGAACAGGTAGGCGTAGGTCTTGGCACTCCTGAGGAGGGGAGGGGAGACCGCCCAGGTTGGCAGGGTGCTCACCTGGGGCCACCTAGCCCAGAGATGGGCCCTAGAGGGAGGCCATAGGGGGAGCAGGGAAGGGTCCGGGGAACTCCCACAAGCCTCACGAAGAAACTGGGATTCTTACACCTGGGGAAGGGAAAGCTGTGGGCCAAATTTATAGATTCATGGGTTCTCCGATTTTCGTTGTATTTATACTTCACCTCCACAAAACGTGTTGAGGCATCTTCCTCCTATAATTCAGTATCAAGAGAGATTTTTTTTCTCTGCAAGTGAATTTGTATTCTTCATTGGCTTGGACAAGATACGTGCCCCCAGATGTTTCCCTTTTTGCCTTGACTGACAAGACCCTCAGGGCTAAATTCATTGCTCAGCTGCTGCAAATCTTTCATCCTATGCTTCCAGGAATAATTTTATCCTCCTACTTTTTAAGCATTCCTAACTTATTTTTTTATTTTAATTGGCTATTTTTATATGGAGGTTTTTAATGCGGCCACAGGCTTAAGTTATTTTGAAAGTTGCCAAAGTTGAAACCCACGACAGAGACCATTATCCAGTGTTTTCTCTTACACAGCATGAGGGATGGAAAGTAGACTCAAGAACTTTCCAGTGGGAAGGATGTGAGGTGAGGGATAGCATGCAGGGCTGGGCTGGGCAGAGGATCATGGGAGGGTTTTGTAAAGCCCCCTGAGGTTGGGAGGGAGGAGGGGCCCTCTAAAATCTTGTCAGGCCTGGGCAAGGCAGATGGTGCGGGCACAGGTGGGGACCCGAGCATGGCTTCCCAGGCATCCCAGACACCTGTGAGCCACCCATCAGCGGTCCCAGGTGGGCCTCCCCCTGCCCCTCCCTCCTCACTCAGCATTAGCTCTGTGCTGGGCCAGGGCCATCTCTGTGGGCACCAGGAAGAGGATGTCGGTCTCAAAGTCCACCACGGTCTTCTTCTTGGTCTCCTGGGATGCGTCGAGGGCCCAGGGCTTGGTGTACACGTCAAAGGTGGCATTGGCACCTCTGAGCCCCTTGGTCATGGTGAGCCCGCTGACCAGCTTGTAGAAGTCCTCCCTGCAGGCACCAAGCCAGCACTGAACCCTCCGCCAGTGCCCATGGGAGGGTCTCTGCACCCCCATCCAGCAGACAGCCACGGATAGCCCCCCAACACGGTACTAACTCCCTCACTCTGCTGATGCCTCCCCAGCTGTCCTCGGGCACCGCCCGTGGCCCTGCGCCCCCTGCTTACTCTGTGATGACCTCCTTGTTCTTGTTGATGGCTGGCAGGTCGAGGCCGGCGAACATGTGGCCGTCCATGTCATTGGTGCCTGCGAGGTAGTCAATGTCGGCAGCGTTGGCGTACAGGTTCACAGGGTCATCGGGGATGAAGTCTCCATCGACGACAGGGAGGAAGCCCAGGTAGTGCAACGCAGGGTCTGAGTGGGAAAACAGCATGTTCTCGTGCCTTTCAGCACCCACCTGCTCTTCCCCTCAGCCTCCGGGGCGGGAGTTGCCTCCATCTCCTGCCTCCTTTGATTAGACCAGGGTTTCTCAGCCTGGGCATTACTGACATTTGGGGCAGGATAATTCTGTGTCATGGGGGCCGTCCTGTGCGTGGAGGGTGCTTGGCAGCATCCCTGGCCTAGACTCACTAGATGCCAGCAGCACCCCCCACCCGAGATGTGACAATCAAAACTGTCTCCAGACTCTGCCACACGTTCCCGGGGCGAAATTGCGCAGGTTGAGAACCACTGGTCTAGAGGCCAAGTCGTCCCATCCCTGTCAAGTCCCTTTCCTCCCCCTCTTCTCCCTTGACCCCAAGTCAGGAAGGAGGGAGACCTGGGAGTAACCAAGGGGCGGATGGAGAAAGAGGTGCCCCCTCTGACGGCTGGGTTCTAGTGTGTTAGCCAGAAACGTTCAGGATCTGCATTGCCCTCTAGACCCCTGAACTGGCCCCGAGAGGACCACATAGCTGGCGTGGGGAGGTGGACGCGCTGGCCTCCAGAGCCCGGCCCGGCCCAGCCCGCTTGTCCTCCCATTGAGGAAATAGTTGGTTTGCACTGGGGGCGATATTGTTTGCTTTGATTTGGTTTCACCTGGCACTTATGGTTTAATTCACGTCACGTAAAGATGCAAATGATGGGGCCCCACTGCACTTTGCCTTAGAAGAATGAGCAAGAGAGAATTCCAGCCTACGGGGCTGAGGACGCTGACCCTCGTAGGCTTTGCTGATGGGGTCCCACCAGCCCTCCTGGGGTACAGAGTAGCAGAGCTGGAAGGGCCAAGTGCTACAGCAGGTGTTCAGTAAACATCTGGTGAATGAATGAGTGGAGGAAAGAATGAACGGTCATTTAGTACAAAGGCTCTTGGTCTGAGGTCCACGAATCTCCCGAACATAGTGTGCAAATCACTGTGGATGTGCATGTGTGGGTGGTGGGGCTTCTCAGAGGGGTCATGACCCACGGAGGGTAGGAAGAAAGAACAGCCCCCTCTTCCCCTTGCAGCTGGAGCCACCGAGGCCTGCAAGGGTGGTGGTGGCAGCGAGATGCCTAGGGACTCCAGTGAGCTGTGACGGGGCCAGGCCTCAGACCCGGGCTTGCTCTCCTCTCCAGGAGCGTGCCCTCTCTCCCCCTGGAGCCCCCACGCCCCTGCCCAGCCGGCCCACTCACACTCTGTGCCTGTCAGGGGCATCTTATAGGCCAGCGTCAGGGCATGGGGGTCGGTGATCTTCAGACACCTGGCCATCCTGGAGGTATCGTCCACGGGGCAGCCCACCTTCTCGGCGATCTGGAGGGGTGGGCAAGGCAAGTAGCTGAGACGAGTGCTTGGGGCCGAGAACATGAGGTCGGGGCAGAGAGCGGGAAGGAGGAAGGCCCCTCCCACCGCAGCTCCTCCTTACACTCTTGGCCCAGAAGAGGGGGTTCTTCTGGACAGCCCAGGGGCTCAGTGCCACGCCGCTCTGGCTGATGGCTCGGCGGATGAAGCCCTTGTTGTAGGGAGAGAGCGTCTGCAATACACAGAGGTCCTGTCACCACGGCCTCTCCCCACCTGCGCACCCTAGGCTCAGCCAAGGACAAACCCTGAGGTCAGCTCGAACCCCTCCCCTCGCCCCCATCGGCTCCCTCCTACACCCTTGGATGTAGGTCCCCCCGCTCCAGGGTCCCCAGACCTGCAGAGAGACGCTGGCACCTCCGGCTGATTCCCCAAAGATGGTGATGTTGTTGGGGTCTCCCCCGAAGGCTGCGATGTTCCTCTTCACCCACGCAATGGCCATGTGCTGATCCCGAAGACCATAGTTACCTGGGGGCGGGCCAGGGAGGGGCCTTCATTGGGGCCCTTGGCTGGGGCTGGGGTGCCACACGAGGTGCACAATCCATGTGGGTGGGATGAACATGTCCTCAACTACATAGGGACCGTGGATGAGTCCTGGGATGGCATGTGGTGGGTCCCCAGGAGGCTGGTCGGGTGTGTGCTGGAGGGGGCAGGGCTCAGGCTGGGGAAGGGGAGCAGGAGGGCCAGGCCTGCTCGTCTCTCTCCCTCCCTGCCACCATGCTTCTTGTCTGTCCTGCGGCTTCTGTGTCCCCCTGGGTCCCCGCCTCAATGTCTTTCTGTCTCTCACTCAGCCCCTGTCCCTGCTCCCCTGGGTCTCTCTGTGTCTCAGTCTGTCACTCTGTCAGTGTCTGTCTGGATGGCTCGCTATCTGGCAGCGTCTTCTCTTTCGCTACAGCTGCCGAGGGGCTCCTGGGTCTCACGATTCATCTCTAGCTCCCTGGCTCTGCGAATAGGATTCTGGGCTTTCCAGGGGCCTGTCAGGAGTTGTTTGGGGATGAGGAGCAACCCTCAGAGCTTGGGGAGTTGGGTGCACTCGCATCCCCACCCTCATGCCCGTGGCATCTCACAGACCTGGCAGGTTGGGGTCCCCAGTGCTGAGGAAGCCCAGGGGGCCAACGCGGTAGTTGAAGGTGACCACGATGACATTGCCCCGCGTGGCAATCTCCTCCCCATCGTACAGGTAGTTGCTGAGAAAGTTGGCCCCCTGGCCGGCCCCCATGAGGAAGGCGCCTCCGTAGATCCAGATCATGACAGGCAGGTCCTGGGAGACTGAGGCAGGGCAGCAGGATGGTGACCCCAGATGCCCGCCCCCCTTCCCGCCTGCTCCCCTCACGCTCACTCTGTGCTGATTTCAGGGAAGTTCAGCTCTGGAGCCCCAGACACAACCCAGGGTTAGGGCCTGGGCCTCTGGCTGTAGGGCGCGGGGACTGGAGGGTGGGAGAGGATGAACAGACCTTCCTTCTTGCCCTGGGGGACCCAGATGTTGAGGTACAGGCAGTCCTCATCCCCGTAGGTGTTGTCCTGCGTGATGGTGGCCTGCAGGCATCGCTTCTTGAAGTCGGTGGCCTTCAGTGTCCCTGTGGGGGCTGGCGTGAGAATGGCGGCTGCCCTCTGCCACCCCCAGCTGTAGGACCTGGCCTGCAGCCGCTGGCACCCACCTACCTTTCCAGCCAGGGTGTTCCTGGGGGTTCTCCAGGGTCTTGGTGGGGGCGGCAAAGGGGATGCCCTTGAAGATGTCAACATAGTCGCCAAAGAGGCCAAGCTTCTTGTTGACGCCTTCCACGAAGCCTCCTTCCGTGTACACCACGCCCAGCTGGGAGGGAGAGGCGGGCAGGCTCAGTCTGGTTGGCCTGAATGGGGGTGGGGGTGACCCGAGCAGGCCCAGGGGGGCCCAGAGGCTCCCCAGAGATAGCTTCAAGGAGGGGGCTAATCTGCACTATAACCGAGGCTGCACCCCTGCCACTGGCCTATGTTGCTTGAGGATCCGGCTTGAGGCTTATCCCCCGCCCCGTGGGGTTGGGCGGGGAGGATGTGCTGCTCTCTGTATCTCAGAGGAAACTGGTTCAACCAATGTGTTCCACTCAGGGAAGCATTCTGAGAAGGCCAGGAGAGGCGGGGTGGAGGTTTGATTCTGGCTATGGCCACCAGCTCTGACCATGAGCCTCAGTTTACCCATCTGTAAGATGGGTGTCAGCAGTGTCTCCCTCTGGCCTGTTTGCTTGTCCAGCAGCTGGCAGTGGTAGATGCTCTGTGTACATCAATGTGAGCCTGCTGAACGGTGGGCCCTTCTTCTTCCTCCCTCATCTCTCCCTGCGCTGTCTAGCTGGCCTGGAGTCTGTGGCCTGGAGCCAAGTCCTCACAGCCTCTGTGCTCCCTGCTGGGAAAGACGCCACCCCAGACCATCAGAACTGGGCTGTGTTTCCAGCCTCTGAACAGAGCTAGCCCACGTGGGCCAACGCATCCAATCCTCAGGAGGGTCCTGGCGGCTGGCACTCGTCTACTCTTTGTCCCCAGAGGGAACAGAGCTTTCCTGCTTGAAGTCACCCTGCTGCGAAGTGGCTGTCTGACCTCAGAGTCAGTCTCTTGTCCCCTCCCAGCACTGCCTCTCCATTCGTCCAGGGCGAGCGCCGGTGGATGCTTCCTGGCTCTCACCTGTGCTAGGTTCCAGGTGGGTGAGGGCAGAGCAGCCCCACACCCCCAGGCCCAGGAGGGATCCCAGCCACCCTCTATGGTCTAGGCTAAGGTGGGTGGAGAAGGCTGGAATTGGAGAGACAAAAGGTCCAGAAGTGACACCTGCCACGTGCCGTGGGGGTGGGGCGGGGGGCCCAGGAATTGGGCCCAGGCCTGGCCTCCCTCTCTCTGGTCCCAGGATGAGCCTCCTTGTCCCAGACCTCTGGGCATTTTTCCTGGCCAGCCTCCCGGGCTGCTGGGGGTAGGAGAGGGCCAAGTCAGTGCCTGGGGGATGGGGACGTCACCTCTCAGAAGTGTCTCTGTGTGACTGAGACTGGCCTGAGGCCTCAGGTGGGGGGGCCAAGGGCATGGGGACCCTGGCCATTGTGGCAGCGTGGGAAGCGGTGACGCTGGCTGCTGGAGCAGAGTGGCGGAAACCCAGGACTGCTCAGCCCCCAGAAAAGAACTCCCCTGAAGAAAGAGAGAGACCTCCTCTCAGTGGCAGATGGGGCCAGGACAGCGCCTGACCCTCCAGGGTGAAGGGGCAGGTCCCAGGAGCAGCAGGGGCGCGAAGAGCAGGGCCCACGAGAGCAGATGAGGGGCGGAGAGGCAGCTGGTTGGAGAACAGCATGGTGGGAGGCTGGGGTCCCCTATTTGAGCCCCGCTGGGAGCAGGCACTGGCCATACCCACACCGTTTGCGTGTGGCTGTTGGGGCTTCCATCCTGGAGGCACTTTCCCTGCCTCATTCCTCACACCACGGTTGGGCAGTGAGGGAGGGCACGTTTTATAGATGCCCCAGGAGGGTTAGCAGGCTCTGGACTCTCTCTGGAGGGGGATGCTGCCCGTAACAAGCAGGTGGGTGTGAACTCCCTCCTGGAAGATGGAGGTTATGTTGGGAACCAGACTCCGGGTGGACTAGACCGGGTTCTGGATTCCTGTTCAGCCTCTGGTGGCTGCGTGATGTTGGACAAATTGCTCGTCTGCTTTGGGCCCTATCTCCCCTCCTGTTCAGAGCGGACAACGTCGACATCACAGGGGTGTTGTGGCTCAGGTTGCCAGATTCAGCAAATAAAAATCAAGGACGCCCAGTTACACTGGAATTTCAGATAAAACATGAATTTTTTTTTTCAGTATAAGTATGTCCCAAATTGCATTGGACTGACTTATACCGAAAATTACTCATGGTTTACATGAAATTTAAATGTAATTGGGCATCCTGTCTTTTACCTGGCAACCTGAGATTCTCTTTCTCAGGCTGGTTCTTTCTGCCTGTGACTCTGGCTTCCCTCCACTATGCCCTGTCCTGTTTCCAGATCTGGTTTAGCGGGAGGAGAGAGCAGCCCCTGCCCCTCTGCTGGGCTCTCACTTACCTCTGCAGCGCTCGCTACTGCCAAGCAGCAAGTGAGGCCCAAGACAGCCAGCTCCAGGCGCCCCATGGTGTGTGCCTGCCTCTGTGCGGCCCTCCCACCGGGCCCAGGGGTATTTATGGGGCTGGCGCCAGCCAGGAGCCTGAGTTAGCAGCTGCCTGAAGAGGGTCCCTTTCCCCACCTCTTACCTCTGCCCCCATCCTGCAGGCTGGCCACATGCCAGGCAGTGGACCTGAGGCCAGGAGACATCTGCTGTTTACAGCCGAGTTGAGGCTGGGCCAAGGTCACACGCAGGTGCGCACACATGTACATGCACAGGTGCAGGGACCGTTCATCCTTCCCAGGGCCAGCTGCTCCCAGGCACCCTGGTGCCCACAGTGCACCTGTGCAGGTTACTGCCTGCCTGGGAGCAGAGGCAGGTGGCAAGGGGGGCGCTGCAGGGGCTGGGACTTGGCTCAGGGCACAGTGCCCTGTGTTCTAGCTTATTTACAAGGGCTTGGTTCCACCTTCAGAGAAATGGGCATGCTTCGGGGTCTTCATGCCCCGCCTGCCCCCCCAAGCTCAGAAGAGGAAGTTTACAGGAAACTGGGCACGTGACTTCCAGGACAGAGATGGCTGTGTGCTGCGGGGCAGCCAGTGTGGCTGACTCTTGTTACCGAGGGCTCACTGGGTGTGCAGTTTGAGTTGGCTGTGGGGACCCAGAGCAGCACGAGGTGATCCTGCCCTTGGGGTGTGGGGGAAGCCTCCCATTCAGCACGATGAGTCCTGGGATGGGAGGACAAGAGGCTTGGGTGGACACAGGGGAGGTGGGGAAGGGGGCTCCAGCCCAGCCCTGAGGGCTTCCCTGAAGAAAAGGGAGGGCTGGGCTTTCTGGCCACAGAAATGGGCAAAGACTCTGGGGCATAACCTGGCAGAGAGAGAGAGAGAAAATTGAGCACAGACGTATGAGATAATAGCTAAAGAGGCCACTCCTAGTTTCTGTGAATGTGTATTACTTTGGCAACCAGAGAGGGTTATTAAGAAGTGAAAGACCACCGTGGACAAGGCCTAAAGACTGTGCCTTTGAGTTCAGCCACATCCCAGGGCACCTCTCACAGAGGACACTCAGGCTCCACTGCAGTCATGTCCAGTGATGGGGTGCATTCAGGAGCCAGGGGACAGCCAGAGCCCTCCCAGGCCAACAGCCCCTCAGGCTGGGCCCAGCAGCCCCTTTGCTGTCCAGAAGACTGTGCTTCTAACACAGCCCACAGCCCTGCTTACATCAGGTCTGTGGCTGTTGCCAAGACCCACGTGGATCTACAGATACACGTCTACCCGAAGCGGTGCCCAGACCTTTGGTGATGCTGAGCGGAGGGAGAGAGGCTGTTTCGAAAGGTGGCGAGGGGTGGGCTGCTGTAGGTGGGAGCGAGGAGTCAGGACTCTTGGAAGGGGCATGCAGGCCAGTCTGGGGTGAGAGTGGTCAGCTAGGCGTATGAGGACCAGGAGCAAAGGGTTTGCGGGCTGCTGCCACAGACAAGGAAGCGCATTTGTTAACTCACGCCTTTTTCCAGCTCTTTGAATTGCGAGAACCTGTTCTAAAGGAAGTAATTCTGGGTGTGGAGGAGGGGAAGACCTGTGTGCAGGGATATTCACTGCAGTTATTTATAGCAGCTAAGGAGGAAAGGCAGAGGGGGTGGAAGCCAGGAGGGGAGAGGGAAAGGAGGCCTACACTCAACAATAAAGGTGGTTACTGACTTTTTTAACAGTTAGGGGCCCCACATGGTCCTGCACAGAGTAGATCAATAAACGCTGAAGGAGCAGTCTCAGAAATATCCAGAAGAGACTCACATTGTCCATCCAATAACAAAAATCGCCAGCTGGCTTCCTGGCTACACTTGCCGAATGTGTCCATTAGCTGATCCTGCTTTAGAGAGCTGACTTTAAGGGCATTCATTTCAGCCAAAAAAGATTCGGCCAGTGTCTGCCATCTGACACTCTCTCCTTGACCAGGCTCTGCTCAGGCTCCTCTATTGAACTAGGCATGTTTGCATTGTCCAGTTTTAGCACAAATCCTGTTAAGTTGGTTTAACCAGAATCCCCTACCCTCCATATCTGACCACCCTGGGTATCTGATTGGGTTCCTCAGCCTCCACGATCCCCCAGGTGCTCTCTGAGCCTGCCTTCAGCAAGAATCCCGGTTTAGGTAGAATCCCCCTCACCCCTGCCGGCTTCCCTTACCTTTGCATCCCCCACCCCACCTGCTCCTCGGCTGTAAGCTCCCACTTGCCCATGCTGTATTTGGAATTGAGCTTGGTTCTGTACTGAAGTCTCTTTTCCCCTATTGCAATAGTCCTGAATAAAATCTGTTTTTACCCCTTTAACTACTGTCCAACTCTGGTTTTCCTTTGACAGATCTCCTTCTCAGAGCCCTGAGACCCTGACACTGCACAGGGCTGACCTGTGTGCCCAGGCCGCCTCTGTCCCTTGGTATGGACCATGTGGCATCAGCTATGCTGTGGCCTCGGCTGTTGCTTTTCCTCAGGCAATCTTCTGACTCCAAAAAGGCTGGGACAGGAAAACCACACAAAACTAGGAGCAGTGTGGCTGTTACCCATCAGCTGCACTGTGGGGATTGGGTGGAGAAAATTTAATCCAAAAGTCTGAACTGGGAGTTTCGCTCCTGGTCCATGGACCTGTTAACAAGTTCAAGGACAGACTGGGGGGGCCTGGATGCCCCTGAAACTGGATGCACATATTTGTGGGTATGCAAGTTTTTCTGCAGCAGGATTCTGTGGTTATCACTGGATGCTTGGAGCATCTATGACCTTCCAAAAAGTCTAGGCTGAAAGTATCAAAGTTCTGAATTGATATAACTGACAAAGTAGAAAACTAACCCAGCTGATTTAATGGCACACAGAACTTAGGCAAATACTTTTAAAAAATGTTCTTCTGGGCTGGAGCACATTCTGTGAGGGTAAATGCACCTTTGTCGTCACATGAGGCAGACACTGCAAATGAGACAGACACACAGCCACGTGCAGCAGTAAGGGATAAACACGGGGCTGCAGCTTCGGGACCGGGGGCTGCGGTTCCTTCAGCTGCTCTCACCCGACCTGCCTGGTGAGGGGCATCAGGCCTGTTCTCCACTGTGCAGGCATCGCCCAGCATGAGGTCACTGAATGAATGACTGAAGGAGCAAGTGAGGGTCTGGTGGGAGCCCAAGCCCCAAGGCAAAAGGAAACTCCCCTCTGGCTCTGACACCCCCACTAAGACACCGAGACTCCTTGGGAAAATGCACTTAATGACAATTCCAGCTGGGCCTAGCCTTTGCCAGGCCACCCCAAATGGATGGGATCCAAACCCAAGGACAGTCTTCAGCCATCTGTGACCATGGACCAGGCCCCTCACACGTCCCTGCCATCAGTCATGCAACCAAAGCCAAGACCAGCTGCTCCCCTAGCTGCACCATCTCCACCTCCAGTTTTTGCCGGTCTCAGCCAGAGAGAGTGCTGGGCACCAGCTCAGCCCGCTGGACACTGAGCTGGCTCATGGCCACAACAAGCCAGGGCACAACCTTCAGGGATGTCCCCAGGCACCCAGGGCCAGAGGGCAGCCTGGCGCGGCAGGCCGAGGGAAGGACCAGGGTCAGCCGCAGGCAGGACCAGTGCTGGGATCCCAGCCAGCTTTCCTCAGAGGGGCCTCCTAGGGCCGTTCTGGCTCCTGTGGGCAGCACCAGGGAGCCCTGGCTTGTCCTGGCTCTCTCATCAGGCCGGACACCAGTCTCGCCTGGTCAGGGAGGCCCAGCCTTGGGCCCAGGGCCGCGTCACACGTAGTCCAGAATCTCCGTCTCCATCTCGTTCTCACTCCCATCTGACGGCTTGAAGTCCTCCTCCTCCTCCTCCTCGTCCTCCTCTTCATCTTCCCCAGACTCGTACGTCAGCTGCTCTTTCCCACCGTCAGCCTTGGTCGGGCTGGAGAAGAGAGCTGGGGCCAGGAGACAAGGCCATGAGTGTTCCAACGCAGGCTTCCTGGGTGGCCCCCAGGCCAGCTTTTGCTGGTCTCAGCTAGACAGGTGCCAGGGAGTGCAGCCCCAGACCAGGCCCTCAGGCTCCTGGAGGCCTGTTTACAATTACGGAGGTCTGGGCTCCAGCTCGGAGAACCTGCTTTGGGAAGTATGGACGGCTGGGGGGACCCAGGACTCTGCACTTCCTGAGGAGCCTCGGGCGCTTCACGGGTCCAACGGACTCCCCGAGAGTATGCACGGCATTTTGTGTGAATGCTTTTTTCTGGGAGAGGGTCCACAGCCTCCGTGAGATTCTCAGGGGGGCTGTGTCCCAAATGAGGCTAAGAACCTCTACTCCCATCAGCTCTGTCGGGGTATGGCGGGCTCTGGGACTCCCCCTCCCTAAGCCTGGAAGGAACTCAGAGGGGCCCTCGTGCTTGCTGTTCCCCAGCCCTACCAGACCTGCAGCCCAGCAAGTGCTCACTCCCCTTCCTCACATCCCCAGTCACCAGGGCTGCCTGCTCCCCAGGAAGGGCAGGCAGTGCAGGGTGACAAGACCCGGGTTCCTGTTGTCCCTGCTTTCCCAGCAGAAGGCAGGCAGAACACGCTTACATGTGGCTGGAAGATGTAGGATGGTGTCAGGCATAAAGTGGGAGCCCCGGATGGCAGCATCAACCCTGCTCCAGCCCCACCCTCTGGGCCTGTCTCCTGCCTTAGACCCCCAGGCTGAGTACCATAGCTCCCACCCAGGCAGCCTCAGTGGGCAGCCTGGGGGATGCTGGCTCCTGGGCTGAGCCCTGGCTCACAAGGCCCCCTCTCACCAGCGACATGGGCAAGATGATTCCAGCTGGGGGCAATTCCTCAGGGAATGGGTCCATTAGGGACACTGCTGTCCCCAGAGTGGGGCCCAATCATCTGGGACCTCCCTTCACCCTTAGCAGCTCTCACCAGGCCTCTTGGAACGGATGGTCTGCCGGATCATGAGGGTCATGGCATCCCTCAGGTCGTCGCTGGTCTTGGGGAGGCACCACCCATCCCGCTCTGTGCAAGAATCCTCGGCCCCGTCATTGCGGTGAATGATCTTCTGCAACCTGGGGGTTTGGGGTATCGAGTTCCAGAGTGGAGTTGCTATTAACAGGTGCCAGTAAGCAGTTTTAGTAAAGGTGGGGTTGGGCTTAGAAAAACAGCACTTCGAGGGACATGGAGCAGAGGAATGAATGTGGTAATGAAGAACGTCCACGAAAGCTATGCTCCCAGCTGGGGTCCTTAACCGTGTGGTCCCTGGACCCCCAAACTACAAAAGCAGGGTGTGCCCATGCACATCCTCCTGGTGAGAGTTCAAAGCTTTCTCGAGGGGCCGGCCCCGGGGCTTAGCGGTTAAGTGCGCGTGCTCCGCTGCTGGCGGCCTGGGTTCGGATCCCAGGCGCGCACCGATGCACCGCTTCTCCGGCCATGCTGAGGCCGCGTCCCACATGCAGCAACTAGAAGGATGTGCATCTATGAAACACAACTGTCTACTGGGGCTTTGGGGAAAAAAAAGGAGGATTGGCAATAGATGTTAGCTCAGAGCCGGTCTTCCTCAGCAAAAAGAGGAGGATTAGCATGGATGTTAGCTCAGGGCTGATCTTCCTCACAAAAAAATAAATAAATAAAGGTTTCTGGGATTCTGGTGGGCTCTGGGAGGATTGGGAACCATGTCATGAACCCTCAGGTGGGCACTGGAGGAGGAGGGGCGAAGATTCAACAGCAAGACATGTTTCCGCCCAGCCCAGCACTGCGGCTCAGAGGCGCAGCCCGCATGGACACTGGAACCGCCCTGGAGGTCGGCGAAGCCCAGACACAGAGGAATCTCCCGCGGCACCAAACCCCAGCTGAGCAAGTCTTCCCGCTGAGTGACTAAGGCTGACAGGAAATGGAAGAGTTGCAGGAACCACTTTGGTCCCTAGACGGTTTCTTAGCACCGACCCGAGGCCCAGGCCCCCCGCGGTGTCTCAGGTCCCTCACATACTCACTCTTCCACATTCAAGTCACATAACTGGTAGAACATCTGTCGGTACGGTGGCAAGGCCCCCTCCCGGAAGATGTAGACAGAGTCCTGCAAAGGAGAGGAGTCGGGCAAGGTCAGGGGGACCCCTCCCCTGGGGGCGGGCGGTGTTGGAGGCCCCCACCCACTGGGGCTCCCCCGGGGCCCTCTCCAGGGAGTCAGCTGGTCCCAGGACCTGGCAGGCCTGTCTCTTCTCCCTGGATCCAGGTGGGCAGACAGGCCCGAGACTGGGGAGCAGATGTGGAGAAAACCAGCTCCGACTCCCCTGGAGGTTCTGGGAGGGCAGACAAAGCAGCCTCACCCTCCCATGGCCCTGGAACCATGAACCACCTGCGTGGCAGGCCAGGCACTCAACGCATGGGGTGCGCACCAGCCTGGGCCGCACTCTGCCTGCCGTGCCTTCCTGCAGAGTCAGCCCACCTCCTTCCTCGCCAACTTCTGCCACCTGGTCATCTTATGCAGCCCTGCACACCACCCTGACATGAAGCAGGGTTTACTGAGTGTCTGTTTTCTCTTTTCCCTACCCGGGCACACAGTCTGGAGGTGGGGATAACGGCCTAAAATGGGAGTCCTTGAGGAGGAGGTTGCTCAGACGATGATCTGCGCCCCTCACTGAGGAGAGAGGATACTGATGGCATGGGAAGACAGCCGCGTCCCTCATGGCACCCGTCTCTGCATTTACACTCTGCTACCCGCTACATGAGGCAGCCAGGGTGGGGGACGCACCCTGCCCGGCCTCGCCTGGACCGTGGAGCAGCTCACAGCAGCCCAGGTATGGAAAGCGCTTCGGAAATTGCCACCGTTGTTGGGTGATTGTGTTCATGAAAGCGCGGGCCTGTGAGGGCAGGGCCCTGGCTCTCATCCCCGCAACACTCCCTGCCTGGCCCATAGCTGGGGTCCAGATGGTCTGCTTGGCTCCGTGCGCCCGATTCTGACCATCCCAGTGGCAGCTACAGGCCTCAGAGGGGCTGGGCACACAAAGGGCACCACACGCAGTTGTTGTCAGATTTCCTTCTCGGAGACCCGCCACCAACTCTTTGCCCAGATGGTCCTCAGTACCCACTGCCCTGGGTGGTTCGCACCCGGAGTTCCCACTCTGTTTTCAGAGGCTGTCCTGGAAGGCGGGAGTCATGTGAAGGCAATGGGTGGGCAGAGTGCCTCAGTCAAAGCCCCTCCCGGTGTCACAGACGAGGGGACCTGAGGGGGACTGTGTGTTGGGCCTGCACGAGTGAGGCACCTCCTCTCTACCCTCCACTTCACCCAACCAGGCGGGCAGCTGCTCTCCCTGGGGGCTCAGGGGGCACCACCTTGAGCTTGTACTTGTTGGAGGCCGATTTCCGTGCGCTGGCCGTCCCCGACGGGCCCAGGCCCTGCTTCAGATCACGCATGCTGACAACCTGGCTGGCTGTAAGGGGACAACAGCAGTGCTTTGGAACACAGGAGACAGGGAGTGCTTCTCCCAACCCCCGCCCTCCTGCCTGCCCCACCCCCTCCCAGGGAGCTCCGGCCAGCGCCCTGGAGTGGCCCCCTCAGGAAGCTCCTCCCCACGCCTGTCTCCAGACACCCGTCTTCCTCAGAGTCGTGTGAGGGCAAAACAGCCCTGATGGGCAGCGCGCCGCAGCACTTACGCGTCTTTTTGATGGTGACAGGGAAGCTGTAGTTGTAGGTGCTGCGCTTGGCCTTGACGGGCATGTCGCTGTGGGCATAACCTGCCGACAAGGGTGGGTACGTCACGCGAGGGTGGACACAGAGCCCCTCCTGGCAAACTGCGCTGGCTTCAAGCTACAGGCACATGCACTGGGGTGACAGGAGTCCCCACATTTGGCACTGCCCACGCAGGACCGTGTGCGGGTGCTTTGTGTACAGTGGCTCACTGCGGGCCTGGTGACTGACCACTGCTGGAGGCCTGGCCTTACACAGAGGCCATAAGTGACTGTGCAATAACCAAACAGATGAATGACTGGAGTTCAGTCCTTGAGGGTCAACACGGGAGCCAGGACCAGAGCTCAGATCCTCATTTCTATGCTGTTCTGCATCCAACAGCTCTCACCATGGGAAGGCTTTTTATCCTCTCCACGTGGATACATTCTTTTTTTTTTTTTTTTTAAATTAATTAATTGATTGATTGATTGATTGATTGATTGATTGTGTGTGAGGAAGATTAGCCCTGAGCTAACATCTGATGCCAATCCACCTCTTTTTGCTGAGGAAGATTGGCCCTGGGCTAACATCCATACCCATCTCCCTCCACTCTACATGGGACACCGCCACAACATGGCTTGACAAGCAGTGTGTCAGTGCGCGCCCGGGATCCAAACCTGTGAACCCCGGGCCACTGAAGCGGAGCACGCGCACTTAACCACGGCACCACTGGGCCGGCCCCTGGATACATTCTTATTACAAAAGAGAATGCCAGAGAGAGAGAGAGAGAGAAAGCAAACGCTTTAGTACTTGTTACCGTATTTCATCCCACAGCGGATTCGGAAGTCAAGGACCTGATACATCTTGGCTTCCGGGTGTTTGCGGGGGTCGTACCCATACCGAATCCACAGGCTTCTCCAGGGACCTGTTATCTGGAGACAGAAAAGGCGGGAGTGCGTGGTGGGGTCAAGGCCAATCCCGGCTCCCTCAGAGATGCAGGCCCAGGTGGCCTGCTGGTGGGATGGGGGGGCAGAGGACACTCTGAGAGTTGGGGACTTGGCTCTGGACCCACCCTACCCTGCCACATGTGGCTCTGTCCCCTTGGACAGGTCACTTGGCCTTTCCCAGCCTTGGTCTTCCAGTCAGATGGGGATGACATGAGCCCCCTTTCCCACAGTGTTTGTGAGGATTAAATGAGAGGACGCCCTTGGAGCCCTGACCACAGGGTCTGGCACACAGTAAGTGCTCAGTACATGTTATTATTGTAAATATAATACATGTTATTACTGTCCTAACTATGGGATGTTCTGGCCCCAGGTGGTACTCCTGAGGTCCTATGTCTAGAAAGCCAATGCTAAAAGACAGAGGCACCTCTCCAAAGTCTGGGGTCCAAGCCACCTGTCATCACTGTCACGGTCACCTCTTACGCTGGCCTCCCCAGTGCTCAGTCTGGAGACCCTTGGCAGATAGAATCCCTTCCTCCCGGCACCTTTGGAAACCTCAGTAATGACACCCCCACCTCCATCCCCTCCTGGACTGAGTCCAAGGTGGATCTGCCCCCAACTGAACCCCACTCAACCCAGGTAGATAAGTCGAGGCTGGCAGCACTGTGGCTAGGAGCCCTACAGCCAGACAGGCTGGGGTCCTCAGGTAGCTCTGCCACTTGCTGCTGTAGGACCCTGGCGTGTCAAGTCACCTTTCTAGGCTCTTCCTCAGAGGTAAAAAGGGAATCTTGTGCCACCCCCCAGGGAGGAAGAAAGGATGATGTGCACACAGCACTTAACCCAGCGCCTGGTCCTTAGAAAGTTCTCAATACGAGGTCATTTTAAAACGCATAATCCCTTTACTTAATATAACGTAATGTAATAACTCCTTAATCCCAAAATCTTCCTTATATGGCCAAATGTGTTACTGAGGAGGCTGGGGAGACCCTTTCTAGGGGCTGTAACAAGCTGTCCAGGGGTGCCAGCACAGGGCTGCCTGCTCTTGCTGCGGCTCTGAGAGGTTACAACAGGGATCAGGATGACCCTGGTGGGAACCAAGGTGGGCAGCTGGGCAGACACTCACCATGTAATAAGCCATGAAAGGCAGCAAGACCTTGAGCTTGTCAGGGTGGACGCTGATGTTGGCCTTGACGGCATTACGTGACCAGATGGGACGGATGTCAAACAGCTGGGGAGGTCAAGGCAGAGGCTGAGATGAGCACGCAGCTTCCCACCCGCCTGCCCCAGACTCCCCAGCGTAGCCTGAGCCCCGGCGGACCCTTCCGGAAGGGAGCTGGCGGAAAGCAGGGGCTGAACACGCAAGGACCAACCTCTAGGAACCGCTGCACGCACCCCCTCGCTCCTCCCTTCCCTCGGCAGCGTGGACTGCACGCCAAGCACATGTCAAGTGCGGCTGCAGGGCCTGGGGGTCCTGAAATGACCACGAGGGCCTCGGTCTCTGCCCTTATGCAGCTCACAGGGCAGAAGGAGAGGCAGATGGCCAAAGCGGCCAGAGCAGGGCTAAGCGAGGGGGTACTGGAGCTCCAGGACCCCGAGCAGCCCCAGCCGAGGGAGTCGCCTGAGTTGGCATCAGGAAGGCCGAAGGGGGAGGACTGCAAGAGGCCAGAGTGGCTGCAGCGGGAGGGCCAGGACAGAGGGCCCTGCACCAGGTTCAGGACTGGCTGTGTCCAGAGAACCATGAGGGGCTGTGTGTAGTGGCCCCCACGTCCTCCCTTCCCCTGTGACTGCTAGCAACGCAACAAGGTGTCCACACAGTCTCTTTAAGAAAGAACCCCCTGCAAAGACACAGTCAGTGTCAACAAGGGAAGAGCCAGGCCTCAGTTGGCAGTGATGTGGCCTCGCTGAGAACCTGCTGTTCACGCCTGCTGGGACACAAGGAACAGAGGCCCGGCCCGCATCTTCCCCGAGCCTGAGGGCCAGAGGCCAAGACGGACGGCCGCTTCCTCCCAGGGCAGACCGTCCACCCAACTCTGACGGGAGGAAGCGCCGGACCTGGCACACAGGAGGTGCTCCCTCGGGTTAGCTGCAACCACTGAATGGAGAAAAGAAAGCTTCCTGGACCCCAGAGCTCTGCACCGAAGTCACATTCGGACAAGGCACCAACTGTTCAGCACCCCACAGGGACCTCTTCAGAATTCTAAGAAATATTTTCAACCTTGGGATGCTGAGCTTATACTGGCTTGGCTTTTAGACGTGACATCTGGAGGTGAAATGTTCCCATGTGCTAATCAACCAGTTTAAAAAAAAAAAACGTCAGTCCAGCCAGCTGCCAAACAAAAGAGGCCGTCAGTGCAGAGGTGGCCCCGCGGGGCAGGCTCACCTTCCTCAGCTCCTCCTCCACCTTCCGGTCCACGGGGTTGGTGCACACCTTCCTCCACGTCTGGACGGCAGCCTCCAGTGGCTGCATAGGCACTTCATCCTCCTCGAAGTTGACAAAGATGGCGTTGTGGGGGCGCCGGGCCCTGCTCAGACCAATGAGGTTCTCGCTTGAGATGGGGGGGTTGTTGTAGCCTTCCCTGGGGGTAGAAGAGCCAATGAGGGCCAGAGCACCAAAGACGAGCCCCGGCATAGGCCTGGCCTGAGCAGGCAGGGAGCCCAGCAGGCCTGCGGTGCTGGCGGCCCGTGCTCGTGGGCTGGGCCCTGGAGTCTGGGTTACGGAGAGGCTCTCAGAGCCGGCTGCTGAAGGCAGGGGCCTGTGTTCTCAGGCTGATGACTGGGGAGAAGACAGGGCAGACTGCCAAAGACAGCTCAGGGTGGCCCTGAGGCTGGCGGCTCTGAGGCTAGGCAAGGTCAAAAGGTTCCAGAGGCTGGAGTGCAGGGAAGGGCTCCTGTCATGAGGCTGGTGGCCTCACGACTGCATTGAGTCACGCACAGCACTGTCCAGCCAGTGAGAAACTGGAAACCACTTAATGCCCAGCAGACAGGAAGGGCGAAATCAGTTAAGGCACAGCCACCAGCAGAATACGATCAATCAGCTGTCAGACAACCGCCATGCTTACTGACTTTTACGATTCACTTATTTAACCCTCAAAACAGTCCTACAAGGAAGGAACCATTTTCCCATGAAGTAGCTGAGGCCACAGGGGTTAGAAACCTGCCCAGTCAGAGCTCCTCATAACGGAGGGGGCCTGGCTGCAGAGGCCCCGTGAACCACCGTCCGGCCACCTCTGACAGAGCGTGAGCCTCGGACTCCGAAGCATCTCGACAATACCTAGGTGAGTGAATGATGGATATTACCAAACGGCATGGTCTCAGAGCACAGAGGTTACAGCAGGGGCTCTAAAGCCAGTTCTGCCCGGTCGGTCTGTGTTGGCACAGGACACAGCCAGGGGGAGGATTCCAGGATGCCCAGAGGGGACACCTCTGTGAGGAGGATGCCACAGACGCCAAACGTGGACTCCAGCAGGGAGGAGAGTCACCAGCTCCAGCAACTATCACCCCCGACTTGTTTCACTTCATCCAGACCACACCCCAAACCCACTCAGTTACCGTGAAGCACATTTTCAAGTATGTCCTGGATGTCACAGAATTTCATTCAGGTGATTACTACTTTCTAAATTTGTTTCCATTTTACCTTAATTTTCGCAATGAGCACATACAATCTGCATATTTATAAAGAACAAAGTGATTTTCCACATTGGAAACAGAGTTACAAAGATAGAATCAAGTCTGGGCCTTTTTTTCCCCTGACTCCATTAGAAACTGTCCTGGACGGGGCAACATCATCCTGTTTTCAAAGACACCTCCCCAGAACCCTGGACACCCCCAAGAAGGAGAGGCCTGTTGGCTCACTCAGGGCCAGGCAGCCCACCCGCGAGAGCAGCCGCAGGGCATGGGCCACCTGCCTGTGCCCCTCACTGCAGGGAAAGGCTCCCACAACCACTCTAACTTCCACCTCCCTGGACTCAGGGAGGGGCCAGAGAAGTGGCAGCCAGACCTCCTCCCCGCCATCCTCGTGTCCCTAGGAAGGCCAGCAGAGCAGACAAATCAATAGCGGCCCTGGGAGAGAAGACAGGTTCTTTCCATATGCTGGAAAATCGATACACCACGTGGGGAGGGGAAAAGGGCTTGTGGGCCCAATGGCAGCAGGCCATCCTCCCCTGTCCCCACTCCAGAGGCCGGGAACAGCTGCCTGCTGGCCCCACAGGACAGAGAAGTGACTCAGGTGCCACCATCCAGTGCCAGGGGCCAGCAGTGCAGAGGGGGGCTCTGTTTTCTTCTTATATATTTTTTGGTTTGTTTGTTCCTGACTAAAAGAGTAAAATGCTTCTGGAGGAAAAATAATAAAAACATTTCAGAAATAAGTAAATTTTAGAAATGGATATTACCCCCTGCTTAAAACTCAGTTGTACTGAGTATAATATACACATAGAATGATATATCATGCCCCGTGCAAGGGTTTCAGCAGGGAGGGGAGGTGAACAGATTCATTTCGTTAAACATTTAAATACAATGCATATGTTAGTTATTCATTTCTGTAATGTTTTATTCTTTTCTGACAAGCACAATTTACTCTCGCAATCACAAAAAGGGGGCAGAAGTGTTATGTATTCAACAGGCCTGAGAGACTTCAACCAAAAGCAACCCGTACGGCCCCTGTCTGGCTCCCAAGTCACTGTCAAGACAACCAGGGAAACTGAACAGGACTGGGAGTGGGATGACATTATGGAATATCGTTAAATTTGCTTTCTATGATAACAGCGTTGCAGTTATGTTTAAAAAACCAAGTCCTTCTCTGTTCGAGACATGCACTGACTTGTTTCTTGAGAATGTGGTAGGAAGCTGAGGGGTGGGGGGGGATAAAATGGGCAGCTAATCGTTGAAGCTGGTGGTCCATCAGGCACTTCTCTCTAGGGTAGGCTATGTTTGGAACTTTCCATGACGTATTTCTTTAAAGGAAGAGAACACCACACCTTCTCCTCAGGACAAAATCTAAGCCCCTCATCATGGTCTGGGAGACCCTCACTCCACCACTCTGCCTGGCTCACTCTGCTCTGGAGCACTGGCCCCTCGACCGTGCCTTGCATGCACCAATCCCCTGGTCTGGAATGTTCTCCCTGGATCCTGCCCGGCTCCATCATCACTCGGGTCAGTTTCATATGTCAGCTCCTCCGAGGGCCCTCCTTGGCACCTTAGCCCCCACCCCACTCACTGTCCATGATGACCCATTCCCCTCTTATCTCCTTTCAGACACACATCTGGACATGGCACCCATCAGTCACGCGTGTTCCGTCCAGCTCCCTGACCCCTCGGCCTGGCATGGAACCATCTGTTGTGTTCTCCACTGACGCCCAGCTCTGGGGAGGCCCCGGGCCATGAGAGGCGCTGTCAGTACTTGTTGTTTTTTATTCTTTTATTTTTTTGTGAGGAAGATCAGCCCTGAGCTAACATCTGCCAATCCTCCTCTTTTTGCTGAGGAAGACTGGCCCTGAACAAACATCCGTGCCAATCTTCCTCCACTTTACGTGGGACGCCGCCACAGCATGGCCTGACAAGCGGTGCGTTGGTGCACACCCGGGATCCGAACCCGGGCTGCCAGCAGCGGAGCGCACGCACTTAACCACTACGCACGGGGCCGGCCCGTCAGTACTTGTTGAAGGAAAGATTTAATGAGGAAAGAGCAAGTTCCCATCCTCCCACCCCTTCAGAGATAACTGTTCCGGGCCCAATCTTCTGGATTTTTCTAGGCTTCTATGATCACACCACAGTTTAGTTTTATACTACAGAATCTGCTCTAACACCTGCCTTTTTCATAGAGCAAGGTACCCTGGCAGCAGGGCGCTGGCTTGGACCCTCAATGCTGCAGTGTGGAGGGGCCTTACCGGTGCTGTGTTTCTGGTCGATAGAAGTAGTCCACCGGGGTGTCCAGCCTTGAGAAGATGGGTGGCGGGATGTAGAGTGGCAGCTCTTGGTGGAAGAAACTCTCCTTCTCAGGCTTGAGCATGAGCACTTTGTCATACATCGACGTGTGCTTGCCACCCGCCTCCGTGTGCACGGCCAAGTACTGGAAGTCGGACATTCCTGGAAGAGACACTGACAGATGGCGGACGTCGTAGCAAGGGATAGCTCTCCCTATTACACCCGCCCAGGAACTGGCAGCTGCCACGCACCAACGCCCACATCTCCTTGGGGAGGTGCTGAGCAAGCCACGCAATGGAGGCTGCCAGGTGGCAGGAGCTGAAACCACACCCTTCCGAAATGCTTCTGTGAATTCAGCTCAAGGCACTCTAAGTTACTGGAATAAATATTATTTTGGGGAGACTAGGGGGTTACATGACATATGAGGAGAAGGTCTAGGTCAATGCTTCCCCAAATGTAATGTGCATGACTCACCCGGGATCTTGCTAAATGCAGATTCTGAGATACTGCATTTCTAACAAGCCCCCAGGTGAGCCAGATGCTGCTGGTCCAGGGATACTCACTGAGTAATGAGGTGCTGGCTCAGTTAGAGAGATAAAGAATGACTCACTCAGAAAGCCTTGTCCCAGAGAGGACAGCCCTCTTGGTGAACGCCACATCCCACTGAATGACTGACGTTCAAAGCTCCTGGCCCCTGGGGCTCAGGTCCTGCCCTGGGTTCTTCTCACTTTCTTCTTTTCTCTTTCTAGACCCTCCTCCTTTCTCAACCTTTATTCTCTTCAGATTCTATCTGAGAACTGCAGCTACAGACACTTGTCAGTAACTTACCAAGCGCCTGTGTGCCCCTTAACGGGCGTCCTCTCCTGAATCTTCACGAGGGCCTAACGGGCTCAGGGCCCCGACTGGACAGACAAGGAGACTGAGGCTGAGGAAAGCTGAGCTACCTGCCCAAAGGGACTCACAGAGCTCAGGCAGGCACAGTTCCAAAGTCTGTGTTCTTTCTCACTCCCTTCCCCAGCCCCCGCCTTACTGCCTCCTCACTGGGGTTCGCTGTGGGTAGCAAACTCAATTGAGGACCCCACAGGAGACATCCAGGTGGCTAAGAGTGCAAAGGAACACGAGTCCCAGGAGCTGAGGTGATCCAGGAAGGCTTCAGAGGGGAGGCAAGACCAGCAGCAGTCAAGAGCAAGAGCAGGTTCCGAAACACTGGGGGTCAAGCACTGGAGGCCTGCTGCCCAGCTGTATGTGGCCCCACATAATGGCTTTAAAAATGAGGAGATTTCTCACAGAACTCTAGCTTCTCTTAAGAATGCAGAAAACGAAGCAGCAACGAGCCCACAGTCTGTAGGGAGCTGTTGGCCGGAGGGAGGAGAGGCTGCCTCCTGGATGGGGCCTGCACTCTGCCACTCCCCTCACCTCCTGCCCCTCACGCCCGGGCGTATCCTGGCCCACTTCACTGTGCGGATGCCCCATGAGGCTCCTGCAGGTGTTTGGGACAGTTCCTGAAATAACTCAATGCAGTAATAACGCATTTTGCAGTTACCTTGAAATTTGTAAACGGTGGAGACAGTGCCAAGGATCTCCACGTCGAACGTGACCTTGGGGTGGGACTCGGGCCCTGGCACCCCCTTCTGCCGCCTTGTCTTCCTCCGGACTCGGAGCAGCAGGCTGCTGGTACTGAAGCGGTTAGCGCACACGGGGTGGCAGTAGGGGTCCTCGGGCCGGAAGTACAGCTCCAGCCTCTTGGTGGGGTCTGCATAGATCTGTGGCAAGGCGAAAGGAGACGGAGTGAAGCAGTGACCAGCTAGGCTGCTGGCAGGGAGCCGCTCCTGTCTCAACAAACGCCTGATGGCGACCCAGGGGACCGAAGGGCCAGGAGGCTCGTGTTTCATTCTGAGCCCTTAATTCCCAAAAGACTCACTTTTCAAACCCAAGTAGCTTAGTTTTTGTCCAGTAGAGAAAATGAGAATAGTCTCTTCCTTCTAAGGAGTTGTAAAGCTGGAGATAATAACTACCAGTTCAGTAAAAGCCTTCATCTATCGAGTGCCTGGTCACTGCGGGGAATCATGCGACTCTTCTGGCAACATTTCAGGGAGGTGTTGTCACCCCTGAGTTTACCAAGGGGGTAACTGAGGCTGGGGGGCTGAGTGACTGGTGTAGGGCTTCCTACTCCAGGAAGTACCTACCCCAAAGGGGCTTGGCATTCGGGCTCACATGTAAATGTTTCTAGGTCCAAGAGAGATTAGATCAATCAGTAATAACCCCTTTGGCTCTGACCAGCTGTTACTTGTCCTTCCCAAGCCTTGCTCCTTCTCCTTAAATGGAGATAATAACAGTACCTACTCCTAGGATTGCCACAATAGTTAAATGAAGATACACATAAAGCACCTAGCCCAGAGCCTAATTCACGGAAAACACTATGTGTCACCTACACATGAATGCTTGCCCCACACGGGGTAAGACGGAGGCAGTGTCAGCTGTGCACACAGGCAAGCCCCAGCAATGTGCACGGCACCATGGCCATCTACTTGCTAGTCTGCTGGCTCCCCAACCCCATGACGGGACCTGGCCCTTAGGGGGTGCTCAGGAGACATGGAGGGAAAGAAAGTTAAGAGGAGCCCCAACCCTCAGGAGGCCCTTCTCACGAAACACAGGCCCCTGAGACTGCTGGGCTGGGAATGGCCCCAGCAATGAGCCTGGCACTGAGGCGGTACTCAAGAAACACGAATGGAATGAATGAATGATCAGAGTCTCTTCCCAAAGGGCTCACATTGTAGTTGGGTACAATATCCCTGGGGTTGGCGAGAGTCAGTGTCCTGTCAATGCCACAGTAAAGTGAATAAGTCAGGATAAAAGAACAAAACATGACGGGCCTCCACTGGGGCATGCTGGCCTTAGTGACAGGTTCAGGGTTTTTGATATTTATAAAGGATAAGGAAGCAGCAGTTAAGAGCTCAGACTTCGGAGGGGAGGTATGCATGAGTTAAAATCCCCTCTGTACCATGCTGACCCAACCTTTCTCACCTGTCTTTACCTGAAAAGTGGGAATAATAATGGTACCTAACTCACTAGATTGTTGTGAGGGCTCAATCATGCATTCGACAAACATTTTGGAAGCAGGTACTGCTATGGATGTAAGGACTCCAGGAGTGAACAAGAGAGACAAGGTCCTGCGCTAGTGGAGTTTAGAGTCTCAGAGCCAAGAGGCCAAGACAGACAACAAACACGTTAAAACATAACCTCAGATTGGAATTAACAGGTTGAAGGGGCAGATATTAATTGCTAGAGGCCACTTTAGTTAGGGCACTCAGGGAAGGCCTCTGGAAAGAAGAGGCATTTCAAGATCTGGTGCATGTAAAGCACTTACACAGAAGCTGGCAAGGGAGGGACTCAGCCCAGAGCCCCTATTTGCTGGGCGACCTTGAACAAGTTGCCTCGGGGCCGGCCCTGTGGCTTGGTGGTTAAGTGCGCGCTCTGCAATGCTGGTGGCCCGGGTTCGGATCCCGGGTGCGCATCAAGGCACCACTTCTCCGTCCATCCTGGGGCGGAGTCCCACATGCAGCAACTAGAAGGATGTGCAGCTATGACATACAACTATCTACTGGGGCTTTGGGGGGAAAAAATAAAATAAATAAAATCTTTAAAAAAAAAAAAACAAGTTGCCTCGGTTTCCTTGTAAAATGCAGACAACGACAGCTCCTACCTGGCAGGGTTCTAAAGAGGATCGAATGTAAGTAAAGCACCCAGACTGTGCCTGGTACAGAATAAGTTGTTGGCTGTCACCACCTTTAACCCAATAACCCAACACTTTGTCCCCCTCTCAAGCAGGTCAACGGTTCTTAATCTCCCGGTGCCTCAGTTTTCTACTCCGTGCAATGAGGGTGGGGCAGCCCAGCACATCCTGGGGGCTGCAGGCGAGCTGCGCTCACGGCCGGGATGCCGAGGCTGCGGCTCATCCGAGGATGGGGTGGAGCGGACACACTCTCCTCGCTCTGGGGCTCCCCTTCTGTCCTTCGCCCCCTGCGCTCAGGGAAAAACGGTCCATTTCCGGCCATCTCGGAAGCAAAGCCCCGCCCACCGGCCGCTCCAGAGCCCGCCTCAAGCTCCGTTGCCCAGGAAACCACACTTCGCCGGGCGGTCCCGCCCCTCCGGCCGCAGTCCGCGGCTCAGTCCTCCCGCGTGGGCCGGGGACTCCTCACCCGGGAGACGCCTTCCTCGCCCCCCAGAGTCGGCAGCATCTTGGACACGTCGCGCACCACGCCCGGGTACTCCACGCACACCAGGCGCCGCTCGCGCCGCAGCTCCACGGGGATCGCGGCCCCCGACCCCGCGTCGGCCGCCCCCGCCGCCATCCCTGCCCGTCTGGCCGGCCGCCGCGGTCCGTTCCTCCACGCGCTCCCTGGGGCCTCGTCTCAATGGTTCCGCGAAGGAACGTTCCGGGCCCCCTCACCGCTCGCGTCTCTCTAAATCCCTGGGCTCAGCGAGACTCGAAGACCTCTGGGAGCAAACAGCCCGAGGGGAGGCCCCAAGGCCTACGGAGTAAACGACCGCCCTGTCCTCAACTTTGTGTTTAAACGAAGAGCGTTAGCCTAAGGGGCGGGGCAAGGGCCGGCTCTCCCATCAACCCACGAAGGACCCGGAGGATGGTGAGACACCGCCCCGCTCTCGACTTTAGCCAATGAGAACCCGAGCCCAGATTTTAGAAATGAAGAGTCAGGAGGAAGCCAGGTTTCGCTTCGTAGGTTTTAGCCAATAAGGAACCAGGACTGGGCCGGGTCTCCGCCCCCTTCCTCGGATTCCACCCAATGACGACTCGGGGGCCGGGCCCGAGGCATACTTCCGGCCCGCCTGCTTTCACGGGAAGGTCCGGCCATGAATTGATTCCCGGAGCCCGGGGCCCGCCAAGCGGTTTCCGCGAGCCTGTGGCCCAATTCTGCGGCCGCGCCAGGATGGGGTCATCAGCGGCGCGTGGAGGCCGCGGGGAGTGCGATTCGGAAATGGCGAGCGGAAGGGAACTGCGCTTTGAATGCTCGCCCCCCCTCCACAAACAGGAAACGCCGAAGCGCCCTCCGCCCGGGAACTCGGGGCAGAACGCGCGCGTCCGTCCCTCATTTCTTAGACAGTTATTAAGCGCCGATTGTGTACAGGCACTACTCACAACCTAACTGGGGAGAGAAGCATTACGTAAGCGGCTGTACGGGAGACCCTGAAGCAGGAGCACAGCCCATTCTAGGAAGTGACAAAAGACGAAACTATAGGAAGCGAAGAGGGGGAGATGAGGGGTCAGAGGTCGACAAACGCCAGACAGATCCTAAAAGGGATGTCCCTAACGGGTTGGCTTTTTCTGAGTGCGATGGACAACGCTTGAAGGGTTTTATGCAGGGAGTGCCAGGATCCGATTTACGCATTTAAAAGCCTGGCTGTTGTGTAGAGAGGGCAAAAGTGGACTCAGATAAACCAACTGAGAGGCTGCAAAATCCAGGTAAGAGATGCTGCCCGGGGCCAGGCAAGTGGCAGTGAAATGGAAAGAAGGGATTGGATTTGAGGATATTAGGAGATAAGAATCAGTAAGGGCAAGGGACCCCTTGGATCTGGGTACCCCAAGTTTCTGAAATGATCTCTGAATCAAAAGATTACTTCATTGTTCTAGATGGATGTAGGAAGGCCATATAAATGGCCTCAAAGACCACTAAATATGTTTTAAAAAGAAAAGCGTGTAACCTGAGTGAAATATATGTCATTATACTGTAATTGGCAGACTCAGTTGGGAGACCAAAACTTTGAAAGAAAGGCCCCCTCTGTGAGTACAATGAGGAATCAACCAGCAGCAAATGATGGACGAGATAGAGGAACCACATATTTCAGCTGGGAGCAGCACATGAGGATTTAGCAGTCCATGACCTGCCTTCTCCAGTGGGAGCTTGTGCAGTCTACCAGCAAAGAAGATTCTGTGCTGTGAGGCCAGGATAATTCTCCAGAATTTTCCATGCCTTGGGATGAAATTTCTTTTCAAACTTCTTAATGTCCTTTTGTTCTCATTCCGTGCTCAACAAGCAGTCTTCTGGTGGTTGGTTTAATTTTCCAGAAAGGAGAATCTGATTAACAGATGTATATTTTACCCCTGCCTACAATTGTAGATTAATAAATTGGTGTGTTTACATCGGACCCCTGTGAGTTTGGTACACGAGTCAGTCCTGAAGACTGCCACTATCAGTGGAGTTGACCAATAAAATACTGGATGCACAGTTAAATCTGAATTTCATGCAATATTGGGGACATACTTACACTAAACATTTATTCTTTATCTGAAATTCAGATTTAGCTAAGTGTATTTTTTTTTTATAATTTTATTTATTTATTTTTCCCCCAAAGCCCCAGTAGATAGTTGTATGTCATAGTTGCACATCCTTCTAGTTGCTGCATGTGGGACACGGCCTCAGCATGGCCGGAGAAGCGGTGTGTTGGTGCGCGTCTGGGATCTGAACCCGGGCCGCCAGCAGCGGAGCGCGCGCATTTAACTGCTAAGCCACAGGGCTGGCCCTAGCTAGGTATATTTTTATTTGCTAAATATGGCACCTCTAACTCTGGGTATTGAAGGAACTGAGTTTTTGAACCTGCAAAGCTGAGTCCAAACCACTCAGAACCTTAACGAGCCCACTGAGGTCCTGACCACCCCCTATCCTCCAATTCAATGACCCTCTGGTTTGTCTGTTCCAACCTGTTCTCCTTACGGAAGCAAGAGTGATCTTTCTCGAATGAAATCTCACTCTGGCTTTGTCTCCAGTGGCTCCCCTACCCATTCCCTGTCCCACCACCTGGCTGACTCCTCATCGTCCTTTGGGATTCTGTTTAGAGTTCCCCTTGCCTGAGAATGTGGTGCTATCCTCTGGGCGAGTGGCACCCAGCATCACCCCATCACAGAGCTTGCAGCGCTGTTTTATTTCTCCTCCAGCAGAGCACCAGCTTCGTGAGGGCAGGGCCCGTGTCTGTCTGGGTCACCACTGTCTTCCCTGGCCTTGACATGGGGCCGGGCACAGAGCCGATGCTCGGGAAGTATTTATTCAGTGAGTGGATGAGGCCACTTGACTCATTTGAGCCTCAGTTCAGGCCAGCCTCTAGGTCAGGGCCTGGTCATGGAGACACTAATCGAGGCTCATCAGATAGGAGTGTCCCCAAAGTGCACAAGAACTGAGGAGAGGGAGTGGGGGTGAGGGGAAGATCAGGGGCCACCTCAGCGCGTCAGCCCAAGCTTCCCTCGGGCAGAGCCTTGGTCTTATCCAGGATCCAAGGCAGGGAGGTCAGGGTCAAGGATAGGGCCGTGAGGCCAGGCTGGGAGCAGAGGGAGGCCAAGAAGGATCAGGAACTTGGTTAAGGAAGCAGCTTCACCAAGCAGTTTGACATTCCCCCAAACATCGCAGCGTTTAAGCATCATTAATATTTGCATCATTAATATTAAGGGTCTCTGCGGCTCTCACCGCTCTGGATTGGGCTGTTGGGGGGTGGGGTGGGGAGGGCAGCCTGTACATACCACTCCCACGTGGGAGAGAGGCAGCTGCTGAAGGACACTTGGGTGTTGGTGACCAGCGTGTGCTGCCCAGGGAAAAGGAGGGGACCTCTGGTACAAGACACTGGAGGGTGCACCTCCCACTGCCAACCCCTGTGGCTGAGCTGCCCTTCCCAGACTCGGAGACCCTCTCCCTGATGGGCCAAGGAACTGGCCCTCTCGGGCACAACTTGGGTCTCAGGTGAGTCTCAGCCTTAGCGGTAGATCCTCCTTGAGAAGGGAGACAGATAATAAATACATGATCCTCACACCCGGCATGCCGTGTACTATATATGCAAGGAAAATAAAAGGGCTAAAGAAGTGTGCGCTGAATGGTGGCCCCTAAAATACATCCACAAACTAATCCCTGCACCCTGTACACGTGACCTTATTTGGGAAAAGGGTCTTTGCAGATGTGATTAAGCTAAGGAATTTGAGAGAGGGGATCTTCCTGGATTATCCAGCTGGGCCCTAAATCCAATGACAAGTGTCCTTAGAAGGTGTTGACGCTAATAACCGATAACCAACCTATAGATAAGAAAGATAGATATTTAATGAGCCAATGCTGAGGACTAGCCTGGAAGTGTTATCTTCCCCAGGGAAGAAAGCACTCCAGAGGAACGTGGTTTACAGCACGGTTATATACCGTTTCAGAACAAGGAACATACATCAAGCATGACAGGTATACAATTTTCTTTCCCCAAAGTCACAAGATGTTTTGCTGCAGTTTAGCACATACGCAGCTGGTCAACTTGACCTTAGTTCTCTGGGAGGAAAAGCTTATCTTCAAAGAAGTACTGGTATTGGCGTCAGAGAAAGGGAGCTATTCATCCCTATCTTTAAAGATTGCAGTCCTTGCATTGGGAAAATGTTTGAAGCAGATGTGCAATGCATGTTTGGCAGGCCACAAGTCAGGCTACTCTGGGAAAAACAAGTTTTAGGCTGATTCAGGGTTAAACTAGAATGGCTTCCCCATATACTTCAATATGTGAAAACATTATTATTTTCATCAAAGAGAAAGGCAGAGGGAGCTTGGACACACACAGAAGAGAAGGAGGCCCCGTGATCACAGAAGCAGAGATTGGAGGGATGTGGTCACAAGTCAAGGATTGCCAGGAGCCACCAGAAGCTGGAAGAGGCAGAAGGATCCTCCCTAGAGCCTTTGGAGGAAGTGTGGCCCTGTGACACCTTGATTTGGGACTTCTGGCCTCCAGAACTGTGAGGATAAATTTTTGTTGGGTGTTAAGCCACCCACTTTGTGGTAAATTGTTATAGCAGCTGCGGGAAACTAACACAGGAGGACAGAGTCCTTGACTTCCTAAAGATTTTCAGGATTCATTTTCGAGTCATGATATTTCCTGTCACTAGTGGGGCAGTTTTTCTTCTCTCTTAAGTTATTGGAAGTCGTTCACTGCATGGCCAGTCTCCTCCCTCATCCCTCATCCCATTCATGAGATCAGAGACCCCCCATTCCCAGGGAGGGGCTCTCTCCGAGGTGCTGACTCGCCACGATCATCATGGCAGAGTTAAATGCTGCACCCGTGGCCTGGGCAGCTGAACTGCAGCGAGTCATTTAACAAATGCTCCCTGGGCACCCACTGTGTGGTGGACCCTGTGCTGGGCTCAGACAGCGCGGCAGAGAAGACCACAAGCCCCGGCCCTGGCAGAGCTGGCATCTGATCAGCGGAGACAGGCAGCAAGCAAATGAAACCAATCAATACCTAATGTGACACCAGGTAGTGAGGGCCTCGAGGAAAAACAAAGCCCAATGTATGTTAACTGCTTTCCTGCGATCAGCCCTGCCAGTGTGTTTCCCCAACATGCCCCAGCCCACTCCTCCCAGGGGGTCAGAGTGAGTTCTCCATCAGGTCCTCACAGGCTCAGATCCTCCCTGGGCAGCTGGGTGCCCGGGTGCGGGAGTGGGTGGAGTGGCCGGCACCTCCAATGCCCGTCCATCTGCTGTCCCAGCCCCCAAGCACTAAGGAGGTGCCAGGCCCAGCCCTCAGCTCTCTGTCCCAGCATCCAGCGGAGTCCCAGCTCCTGCTCTCTGGTTGAGGATGCATAGTTGTTCTGTCTGGGGAGGTGCCCCCGGGGGGGGGGGCGTGAAAAGGGGCTGCTGGCTGATTGGTAGGACCAATCCCA